CTAAATATATAACTTATAAATAGACTAATTAATATTTATATTATTTAGGATAGATATAATTAATTTATACTTAAATATAATAAATTATAAATTATATTTATAGTAGATATAATACCCTAAGCTATAATAATAGCTATAACTAATAATTAAAAGATTATAAGTAAAGATTTATAGAGATTATAAAAACCCCTAATAATAAAAAGAACTATAAAGAGATAGTATAGATAATATAGCTATATTAAATATAATACCCTAAAGCACCTTATAGGTGCTATTAATAATATTAAGATTATAGATAATATTAAGAAGCTAAAGAGTAAATATTATATTTATAGACTTATCTCTACTCTATAAAAAATATTAAAATAATAAATAATATATATAAATAGACTATTTAAGTATATATACTTTAATCTTATTTAGATAATTATAAGCTATAATAGCCTAAATTAGGTTATATACTTTATTAATAATATAATAAGATTCTATTAAATTAAGTATATTAAATATAAGAGTAATATTTATAAAATAATAATAGACCTTAAAGATTAGGTTAAATATTAGTTTAATATTAAGATAAAGATATATTATATAAATAATAAAAAGGCCTTAATTAAAGATATTAATTACCTTATTATTAATATAATATTAAAATAGATAGTTCTAGAAATAGTAGAATAAAATAGCTATACTAAATATACTAAAGGGGTAATATTAAAGATATTAAGAAGCCTATATATTAAAGATAATATACTATAAGATTTATAGCTAGAAATAATTAATTATAGGGTATAAATACTTAATAATATATCTATATAGAATTAAAGATAAAAAACCTTAAGATAATAGTTAGATAAGCTCACTAGCAATATAATTATTATAGCTAAAAAAAATATAACTAATATATATCTATATAGCTCTTATATATATATATAATAATAAAATATACTATAAAAAGAAAAGATAAAACTATAAGTACTAGTTAAATACTTTATTAGATAATTAGTATTAAATATTATTTATATATAGAACTTAAGGAAATAGACTATATTTAAATACTATAACTTTATAGTTAATAAAATAATTAAGTATAATCTAAATAACCTATTTATTAAGATTACTTTATAGATAATATTACCTAAATTACTTATAGACTTATTAATATTATTAATAAATAAGCTAATTAAAGCTAATAATCTTATAAGTATTAATAATAAGGATATATACTAGAGATTAGACGCCTAAGAGCAGGATACTATTATATAAATAATTAAATAAGATATACTTAATATAGAACCCCCTAAAAAAGGCTATTATAGACCTTTTAAGAACTATAGTAATAAGTAAATAGATTACTAGAAAATAATAACTATCTTATAAATAATAATATTAGAGTAGATATTAATACTATAGACTATATATATAATAGTAGTAATATTAAGTTCATCATAATAGTTATAGATAGTAATAGAATAATTAAATAAGTAGTTAAATAAGTAACTATAAGGTGCTCTAATAATAATATAAATATTAAGGATCTTATTTATAGATAAAGATTAAGAACTAGATAATATAGAGTACTATAAGATAGGACTAAGTCTAGATACTAGAAATATAATCTAGGGATAATAAACTTATAAAGCTTTAAGGTAATATAAAGATAGTAATATATATACTATATAAGGACTAGATAATATATATAATATATTTAATATATTAATTATAATAAAGCCTAAAGACCTAAAGGCTTTAAATATAAATAAATAGCTATATTAAAGCTAGATGCCGCCACCCCTAGATAACTAGAAGAAGATATTTAAGTATTAATATAAGAACTAGTTTATTAAGGCTATAATAGCTAAATATAATAGTCTATTTAAATATAAAATATTCTAAACTATTAAATAACTAAATAATACTATAATTATCTTACTTTAATAAGTGTTCACTTATAAATTTAATTTAAATAATTACTTAATAAAGTTTAAAGTATAATTATATATATAGGGAGACTTATAGCCCTTCTTAGTATAAGAAATATAAGCTATAATACTTATAATATAAATATTCTAGATATTAATATTATTAATTATTATATTTAACCTAGAGATATACTAATATAATATAGTTAATATATTTATTAATAGTTTATTAGATAAGGTGATTTATATAGATATACCTCCTAGATTTATATAAGATAATAAAGCCCTCTTATTAATATAAGCCTTATATAGGCTATAAAGATTACTAAAGTTATAATAAAAGGATTTAGTTATAACTTTTAAAATATTAGGACTAAAGCTATCTAAAGACCCCTACCTCTTTATAAATAATAAGCTTATCTTATTAATATATATTAATAATTTTATCCTTACTTACTTTAAAAAAGATAAAGTATATATAAATAAATTTAGTAGAGCACTAAATAGTATCTATTAAATATATAAAATAAAACTTAAATAGTTTCTTAATATATAGATCTATAAAGACTATATTAACTAAAAGCTTTAGCTATACTAAGATGCCTATATTATAATAATTATTATAAAATATAAGCTTCTAGACCATAAACCACCATAGACACTAGTATTAATTAATTATTTAATTAAAAATATAAAGACTATAATATAAAGCTAGATATAATATTATTAAGAATTAGTAAGATTACTTATTTATATAATAATTATTATAAGGGCGGAATTAGTCTAGATTATAAATAAATTAAAAGAATTTCTATTAAATCTATTAGCTAAATATATTAAAGCTATAGAATAAGTAATTCTATATCTATATAAGATAAGATTCCTAGCTATTTATTATAGATACTTAGTAGAGAGCCCTATAAATAATCTATTAGTTAACTAAATACTTATAGATTATCTAATATTTATATATATAAATAATATAGTATATATAGATAATAATAACTATAAAAGCATATAAGGATATATCTATCTATTATATAGAGGACCTATAGATTAAAAGGTGTTAAAGTAATAAATAATAATAATATTAATTATAAAGGCTAAATTAACTATAATCTTATATATAGAGAAGAAGCTATTCTAGTAAAAATAACTATTTATATTTATTAAATTTAATATAAAGTATTAATTAAGTATCTTATATAATAATAAATAGACTATTAACCTACTTATAAAAGAGGTGCCATTTATATATACTAAGCTTTAATATATTAATATCTAATAGTACTAGCTTTATTAGGAGACCTAGGCTAGGATAATATAGATCTAATAAATCTTAATAGCTTATATACCTATAAATAACTTCATAAAGATATTAATAGGCCTATAGTATTAAAAGTTTATTAAGATGCTTAATATAGAGGATATTAAGATAATAAAGATAATAATAGAGTTAAGATAATATTAGAGAAGTATATTATAGAAAAGGATGACCTTAAGGCTACTAATTAAGATAATTTATATATATTTACACCATCACCTGACTAGCTAAGCCTAATGTAGTTAGCATTATACTCCAATTTTTTATTCACTAGGCATATCTGGCCTGACCGACGTCAGATAGGCCTGGGGGTGCGAATCATATAGGAATATGATACTATTGGCCCTAAATATGTATAGGATTTGTTAAATATCTATACTCCTGAACAACTGCGTCTAATCCTAAAAATACAACACCATTAATCTTGATGGGTGTGTGAAATTTTATCCCTTTGATTCTCAATGTTGGGGAAGTATTCTGCGGTACTGTCGAAGAATCTGGTGTTACAATTTAGTTGAAGGAAAAAGGTAAAGTCATGTTTTCCTACAAACAAGCTAATTTTTGGCATTTGGTAGTTGGTATCTTGCTCAACCTTGGTACTTCTTTCTTTTGTTTAATCTCCCCTATTGATGAGATATAAAAGCTGCCGTGAGGATTTCCTATGGCACTTGAGCTACGGAAGTCTATGTGTGATCCATTGACTTACCATCCTATCCTAATTATACTGCAATGGAATTGTATTAAGTGGACTTGCGTAGTTGGCGAGAAATTAAGATATCGAAATGGTGAATATACGCGCTGGTCATGATTAAAGGTATCTCACTATATATAGGCCTTTCCATACATGCAAGCTGGTCTCCATTTGCAAAGGCTTTCTAAGGGAGCGTCTCTCACTGCTGAATGACATGCTGCTCATCTCAAAGACCAAAAGGGACAGGAATGAGTTGCTTGCTGACGCAAAAAAGACTCGTTGAGTTGATGAAGAGTTTTACTCTGGCTTTTGACCGATGATAGCATGGCTATTTCACCTAGTTAGCATCTCATTGAAGCACAAACAACAAGAAACGCTTACATGTTCCACATGGCGTGAAGATCTCTTCTCTTGCAGTCTTGCCGAACGCCGGCATTCAGGACCTCGATCTCGTCTCTGCTCCAGCCCAGAACCTCGGAAAACGGGGCGGCAGTGAAGGCATCGACGCCCTCGATAACATTCACGGCACAAAGCCTGCCGATGTCCTTCATCCGCTTGTCCTTCGGCCAGCCACCCGCGGGAACCGGGAAGATCTGTTCTGACACGTTGGTGAAGCCCTGCTTCTCCACGACCCCCTTGATCTTCGGAGTAAAGTCCAGCGGCCGTCCGATCTTGGTGCAGATGTCGATAAGGTGGCTCATCATGATGTGCAGATAATTCTCTTCTGTGAAGGTGCCATCTTCCGAGTAGTAGTGGTAGTCGCCATCGTGGAACTCGATCCAACCGCCGGGTTTAAGGTGGCTTCAAGCCAGGCCATCAGCTGAAGGTCTTGGAAATATGATAAAGAACCGACTTACTTGTAGCACTGCTGCACCAGCCGAGTCCAGTCTTTGATAGAACCACTCATATACCGACAGTGGATGAAATCGTATGGCTGTTCTTCCACCCAGTCCAGTTCGACATCATCGATGATAAACTTGACATTAGGCGGGGTCCTGGCCAAAGTTAGAAGACAAGCCATGGGGAGAGCGAGAGGTGGAGGCCGTACCAACTGGGCTGGATTGCACTCAGGTCGTTTCCGATAATCTGGATCACCTCCATGTCAGAGATCGGGATGCATGTAAACAGCGGCTACAACAGACCTGCTCGGCTTCGGGATGATCGTCGCCCAGTTGCACGGCCCAGATACCGGTGCCAGTGCCAATATCAAGCACTCGCTTGTCACGGAGGTCGATTGGGGCGAGGAAGAGACGATCGTTGAAGGTCATAAAGTAGATATAGTGCGTCATGTCTAGACGGTCCTGTTCCCGCTCATCGTTGGGAAACATATAGGCTGGTTGTATTCCTTGATCAGCCAGGTCGTTAAAAAAAATTCACTCGAGCAACCCACCTCCGCTCTGGTAGCTGTGGTAGCGACGGCCATGCTTGAACTCGTTCTTCAGAACGCTCGAGGTGAGCGACTGGGTATAAGTCGAGCTGAGTCCTCGGTCAGCTTGGGGTACTATGCATGATGTCTGGAGTAGGCGACGGCATACAGGCCTTCTTCATAGGAGGAATCATTTTCCTGTCGTTTGTCAGCACGTTCAGAGAATGGGGAAATTCATACGTCGTCGTCATTGTCGACTTCAATACGTTGCTCAGGGATTCCAGCCGGAGGGCTGTTCTGGGCAGGGGCTTCAGTCGGAGGAGTATTCTGGGCAGCGGAATCGGCCATGGTAGAGTTTCTGGTGACAGTCAAGAAAGAGAAGCGGGTGAGAGTCAACTACCTTGTATAAGTAGTCGGTTGTTGTGGGGAATTGTACTTTGGTCAAAGGTGAATAGTGGTCCCATTATCATAACCAACATAGTCTAATGCAGACTAAAAGTTGCAACGTCAGCATGTCGTTCACAGTGCACTATCTGACAATATTTTTATTATACTTAGTATTTATAAGGCAGATGAGATAATAAGGAGGCTCAGGATATTCCTATATCTGAATATATTATCTTATATTAGAAAGAGTTTATTGAGAAAAAACCAAATCTGGCTAAGGATGACCTCTTGGACAGGGGTGTCACTAGTTGGACCTATATACCCCTAGGGAGAAGCAAGAGGATAATAGAAACAAAGAAGTCAATTTCCTTCTAAATTTATAGTCACTGAAGTTAAGTGGACTTATAGCTAGGCTCACCAACTTAATAGGCTACTATTATTTTAATTAACTTTAGTCTAGAATGCATATCTACTACTGCAATCTTTATTCTAAGCAGGTTGCTGGCGCTTTATACAGTATTAAATCTAAACATAATTACTGAATATTCAGTCCTGCCTCAATTGAAGTTATTCAGTGAAAGGTAGGGTTGAGATTCATGGAAACCTCCCATAGTTCTACCCACTCTTGTATGGGACTCGCTAAGCCGTAGATGGTGTGTTTGCGCCAGTGTCGGCCATGCCTTTAGGGTTTTAGGGTTAGGTATATTTAACCATTCCCAATGCAGCTTCCATTGTGGATTGCGCTGGTGGCCTATATGTAATGCCGTAGAGGCTGACAGGGGCGCATTTCCTGACTCACTCTTTTCCCCAAAAACGCCGAGACCGGGTGTCCTCTGCAACATGTCTGGCTCTGAACGAACAGAGAGAATTCCCAAGTCAGCGTATGTACAAGGAGACAGTCCCTGCAACATCTGATTGTGCAAGCACGGCGCTGATTCAACCGGTAGCTGCCTGGTATGCCGCCAGCGCAAAGTGGCCTGCAACCGTCGGCGGCCGAAATGCGGCCTGTGTGCCAAGAATAACCTGGAGTGCCAGTATGTGTCCAGGGACCGCCGCCCGGGGCTGCGGGCGGGATTCGTGTCGCTGTTGGAGCAGCGGCTTGGTGAGTTTAACAAGGAGAGACCTGGAAGAGAATGAATCGGTCCATTCGTTGATTAATCTGATCTACAGCCCATCTGGAGGGCAGAGTACAGCAGCTGGAGCAGGGTTCTGGCCCTGCTGCGGCCACTGTCGACTGCCCGGGGCTTCGGGATGCCCCGAGCCAGGGCGTGCTCATGCCCACAATCCCCCCCGACGTGGGCCCCCCCCGGGGGGTGATCCCCCCGGAAGAACGCCTAGTAATAGAGCCGGCGGGCATGTTTGATCCCCTATCGTTTAGGACCATGTGTGAACTATGCGCCATCTGGTTCCGGGACTGCCATCCCTGGTTCCCCATCCTGCACCAGCCGTCGCTAGACGAAGCGCTGAATCACTCTTCCCAGCTGCGAGCCTCGGAGCATTATATAGTCATCAAGGCTATCGTCGCCGTCACCCTGGACCATTACCAAGGGCTCTCCATCACCGTCGAACAACGCCGGCGCGCCTCGGAAGGTATCCGAGACGCCGTCGTCGCGGACGCGGTCAAGGTGACTTCCCTCCAGTCTGTTCAGGCATTGCTGATCTTATCCACCTTGATCTATGGCGAGGGAAGCAGTAGCCAATGCTGGAATCTATTAGCGCTCTGCAAAAGGTGAGGTTCTTTCTTTCGAGCGGGTGTCCTGCTTCGACAGCTGATCTATATACGGATTCAACAGGATGATGGCCCGTCTCGGGCTGCGGGAAGTCATCAGCAAGCATGGAGATGAGACCAAGACCGGGTCTGCCGCATCGCCGCGCCTCAACGGCCTGCCAAAGAACGTCGTGCAACGCGAGGAACAGATACGGGCGTACTGGATGACGGAGATGCTCGACAGCATCTCGACCATCGGCGCGAGCTTCAATGCCGGTGTGATGCCGCCGCCGGCCAAGTGCGCTCTGCCTTGCAGCGACTCTCTGTGGGCGTTTCCCGAACACATCATCGACGTGTGGTCCATCGGGTCCTTCCACTACTCGTCGGCGTTTTCGCTGTGCATCATCCTGGCTGTCAGCGAGCTGTGGCCGGTGCACTGCTTCCTGCAGAAGCCCTACGATATGAGACAGGTCGACGAGCGCCTGGAATGGCAGAGCGAGGCCCAGCAGATCGACGAACGGCTCACCATGTGGCGCGAGGAATTCGTCGCCGCCGTCTTCCGCCTGATCAACGCCGAGTTTCCGCAGGATAATCGGGCTGAAATGGATCCGAACATCGTCTTGACCAACTGTGTTTTGAATATGTACGCTCTTTGCCTCCCTTGTCCATCCGTCTTGCTCATCTTCCAGGGCTGTCATTGCGCTTTTCCAACGACGCGCCCCATGTCCCGAGGGGGTTGATCAGCCAGTCGAACCTGTAAGTCAGACTCATATCCCCATATACATACTTCAACACTGATATCTATTCAAACAGTGGCCATATGCAACGAATCGATGCGTGTATGCATGCGAAAACATGGCCGCCAAAGTCCGCCGCATCGACGACGCCGAGCTATTCAACGCCAACCCGCACCTCATCTTGTCCATATTTGTCGCCGCGCGGTTCTACATTGGTTAATCTCATATCTACCAGATGAAAGGATCCCATCACACTGACCGTTGCAGTCTACTCGAAAGCCCTCGACGCCGACGTGCCGAGGAACCTGCATTCCCTGGCCTTTGCGCTGCACACCTGCAGCAAGCGGTGGCCCCTGGCGCGACGATACGAAGCCATCATCCGGACTGCAGTCGCCGAGCATCGCACCGCCGTCTTGGAGTCGTCGCTGCCCGTCCAGTTCTACGACCTGCGCTTCTCGACCCTCGAGCTCAGCGACACCCTCCAGGCCTGGGCGGACCGTGCTCTGCTGCCGGACCCCGTTGAGATGCAGTCTGTCTCTGAAGCGACGCCCTAATGTGTTCTCCGTCTTCTAGTGATATAAGACGTATACCCCGCGACTTTCCCCGGTCGGAGAACTTCCGAGCGGGGCGCCATGCTAAACCTTGCTCCCCACCTTCCTATCCAGACATTGCCGGCCGTCTCGGGCCGTCTCTTGCCGCTGAGATAAAAGTCATCCTGTACAAGAATATGGAAGAATGTGAAGTATTATAGGACTGGCATTATTGTCACCATTATCAGCAGCGCGTAATATAAAGCAGTGATAAAAAATCCCTAGTTAGAGACCAAATCCTCCTGCACTGGAAGTCTATGGTCTAAGATATCATCTGCATTCAAGAAATCGGTCGAGTCGACACGGTGCCGTGCCGACGGCGCATCCGGAGTGACGCCCGACAAGACATGGCGCTGGACCAGGCGGTCGCGGGCGAGCTCGCGGTCGACATGGATGAACCACAGCTCGTCCATGAGGGCGGCGGCAGAGCGCCAGGGCTCGCGGTCGAGACTGAGATAGTTGCCCTCCAACACAAGCACGCGCGCGGACGGGCGGATGGGGATGTCGTCCGCGATGGGGTCCTTGCGGGCGTGGTCGAAGCTGGGGGCGAAGATGGTGGCCGTGGCCGGGGCGTGCGGGGGGACGGGCTCGCGCAGCCGCCGGACCAGACGCAGGAAGCCCTCGCCGTCAAAGGTGAAGGCGGCGCCCCGGCGGTGGAAGGCCTCGGCGGGGTTGGGCATCGCGGCCAGTTGCGCGCGCGACAGGTGGAATCCGTCCATCGGCAGGTCGACGGCCAGGTCGCCGTGGAGGGCATTCACTGCGGCGACGACCTCTCGGGCCAGCGTGCTTTTGCCTGCTTGTTCGTCAGGATAGAGAGTCCAAGACAGTCAACAGCTTGGCAATAGTCGATGAACCCACCAGACCCAGGAATTCCCGAGATGGCGATCAGGATCCGATCGTTGGCGGGTGTTTTCTCATACAGAGCTGCACGTCAGTCCAGCATGAACAATAAGCATCAACAGGATAGGTGCTTACATTGAATCTTGCTGGCTAACCGACTGATTTCGCTCCCGGATGCGGCCATGTTGTCCATGTGAGACGAAGAGGAGAGATGTGCCGACCTGGTGATGGTTGGTTATATGTGCAATCGCCGATGACGGCCCCAAACGCCGACGGGCCGTGTCTGCGCCGAGAGGATCAGGATGATCATCAAGAATGGACAGAATACGGAGTAGTATGACTCCAAAACCGGGGTAAGAGTGGGAAATCATGGGGAAGCGGCTGCGTTGACGAAATCGGACTATTTAAACAGGCTTTTCCTGGTGTCTGTTCCCTCTATCCTCATCTCCATCCACCATCCACCTCACCACCATGGAAAAAGACCGGTATTTCGGGGCCCGGGGCGACGCGCTCACCATCTGGGTGACCGTCTGCTGCGCGACCGCCATGACGCTGTTCGGCTACGACCAGGCGGTCTTCAGCGGCGTCATCATCAGCGACGACTTCCTGCGCGTCATGGGCCACCCCAGCGCCAACATGGTGGCCACCATCACCTCGCTGTACGACGTCGGCTGTTTCTTTGGCTCCGTCGCGGGCTCCGTCTTCGGCTCCCAGCTCGGCCGCAAGCCGTCCGTCATCTGGGGCACCGTCGTCATGATCCTCGGCGCCGTCCTCCAGATCTCGGCCTTCTCCGTGCCGCAGATGATCGTCGGCCGCCTGGTCGCCGGCCTGGGCAACGGGCTCAACACTGCAACCGCCCCCGTGTGGCAGAGCGAGACCACCAAGCCCACCTGGCGCGGCAAGCTCGTCGTCTTGGGCCTGGTGGTCAACGTCGGGGGGTTCTGCATCGCCAACTGGGTGGCCTTTGGCTTCTCCTATCTGGCCGGCGGCATTGCCTGGCGCTTCCCGCTGGCCCTGCAGCTGCTGTTTGGCATTGTCATCTTGTGTACAGCGCCTTGGCTGCCGGAATCCCCTCGGTGTGTAACCCTAACCCTACCTCACCCAACTTAACCCTAAACCCTAAACCCTAAACCCTAAACCCTAACCCTAAACTCAACCCCCCAAGCTGACCTTCGCCAGTTGGTTGATCTCCAAAGACCGAATTGAAGAGGCCACGCAGGTCCTGGCCGATGTCCATGGCGGCGGTGCCACCCCCTTGACCCCCGTCGTAGTCGCCGAGAGGAACGAGATCCTACACGCCTACCGCGCCGAGCGCGACAACGCCGTCTCCTGGGGGGATCTGCTGCGCAACAGAACGCGCGACAACGGCCAGGGCACGCTGCGCCGCTTCGTTCTCGGCCTGGGCACGCAGATCATCGTGCAGCTGTCGGGCGTCAACGCGACCTCGTACTACCTGCCCACCGTGCTGACGGCCTCGGTCGGGCTGCCGGACCGTCTCGCCCGGCTGCTGACGGCGGCAAACGGCATCCATTACACCTTCTTCTCCTTCCTGGGAATGATGCTGATCGACAAGTGGGGGCGGCGCGGCGCAATGCTGTTCGGCACGACGGGCTGCGCCTGCTGCTACTTGGCGCTGACGCTGCTCATCTGGGCGGGCTCCAGCACTACCAGCTCCGGGATGCAGCACGAGTACGGCGCCGCGGCGGTGTCGATGATCTTCCTATACTACGCCTTCTTCGGCACGGGCTGGCAGGGCACCGCGTGGCTGTACAACACCGAGATCAACTCGCTGCACATGCGCATGAAGGGCGCCTCCGCCAGCGTCGCCGCCCAGTGGGCCGTCAACTACATGGTCGTCCAGGTTACTCCGCCGGGTATCCAGAACCTCGGCTGGCGCTTCTACCTCATCTGGCTCTTCTTCAACTGGTTTTCCATCCCGGTCCTCTATATCTTCTACCCGGAGACCGCCAACCGCCGCCTCGAGGACATCGACACCGTGTTCAAGGAGGGCCTGAGTGTCTGGGCCTTTACCAACCGCGAGGCCATCCAGGTGCGCCGCCCAGAGCGCTTCATCGCCATGGACCTCCAGGAGGAAGAGGCCGCCACGATCGAGATCAAGGGCGAAGCCGTTCAACTAGAGCATGTCGACCAAAAGATTTGACCAGTTGTCTACAAATCTTCAGCACAATATCATTGATCAACCCTATTGTAGTATGGTATAACATACTACAGTATAGAGAAATTACCCTCATCCTATATATACAATTGCATCCATTTATCCCTCCCCGTAGAGTATTTACCACTCTCCTTATTAAGAGATGGGCCTGAATACTTTAAGTCAATCACATACTTATCCCTAGTATATAAAAGAGCTCCCAGTCTTGAGCTTGATAACTGCCAAGTAGATGATATAGGGAAGCGTTAGCTCACTAGATACTACTCTATATCCAGTTACAAATTGCCCACCTGGCTTCAAACCCCGGTCATCAACCAGGCAGCGTCAACCTCATCGACACCCCCAAACACAACCTCGACTAAGGAACGTCAGTTTCGTTAGAATCGCGTTTACCCTTTGTATCTATTGTAGGGTCTAGGGCTTAGGGGTAGGAGTATGGTCTGTATACCAAATTTTACTCTTGATGAATTTCATCAACAGTTAATTTCAAGTTTATTATGAAGCGATATTGCTTATTCTAACAGTGTTCTTAGTCAGCTTCCTGCAGATGGGGGCCTAAACCTGCTGGTTTTAGGAGACAGTCACTCCTGGTATTCCAGCTATACACCTCATGCAGAACCTATTACGGCCATCTTTATTTAAAAGATACTTCCACAACGCAAATATCAGACACAACAGAACTATGAGTCCTTATAGTGTGAGTGTGAGTGCTCCAGCAATGTCGGATGCGGTGCCCCACACAGCAAGGGAGAAGAGACATTGGGTGAGAGACGAGGCCGACCAAGACAAAGTAAAAGGCTTCATCAATCCATGGGACAGCGCTCAAGTTCAGACGTTTTCCGGGCTCTTCAAGGCCATGGTTATGTGAGCGTGTTTTGATGCTTCCATCTCGAGGACCCTGATCGGCTGAGAATGTGCGTTTGCAGACACAAGTTCTTTTCTGGCGACAGCAATAAGCCGGATACCACACCTCCCACTGTCCCTGTCATCAAACCCAGCTTCCTCTCGTCCAGAACAGCCTCATCGGCGCTACGGGGAACGTGGTTGGGACACTCGTGTTACTACGTCGAGTACCCGACCGGTCTGCGTGTGCTGTTTGACCCTGTATTCGAAGAACGCCCTTCCCCTTTCTCCTGGCTGGGCCATCGAAGATTCACCCCCAAACCATGCGAGATTGCCGATATTCCCATTATTGATTGTGTACGTGATGGTCATGTTTTCATCTCATCTGTTTAACACCTGCCAGGTAATCATCAGCCACTCCCATTATGACCATCTTTCGTATCCCACCATCCTTGAAATCCACAGACGGCATCCATTAGTCCAGTTCTGCGTCCCCAAGGGCCTGAAGGAATGGTTTGCGCGCTGTGGCATCCTGAACGCCGTTGAACTGGACTGGTGGGAGGACATTGACCTCACGCTGTCCAGTCCATTGAACGAGGACATTACGGCCAGAGTCTCGTGTCTTCCCTGCCAGCATACATCGGCCCGCCACCCGTTCAATAAAGGAGTCACCTTGTGGGCTTCGTGGTCGGTCTCCTCAGGTGGCAAGTCCGTGTACTTTGCGGGCGACACGGGCTATCGCACTGTCCCCCATTTGCCTCGCGGAGTGGACGACTGGGGGCCGGAGTTTGCTCATCTCCCCGTCTGTCCAGCCTTTAAACAGACCGGCGATCTACGAGGGCCCTTTGACCTGGGGTTAATTCCAATCGGAGCGTATATGCCCCGCCATGTGTTGAGCCCGATACATTCCAATCCGTACGACTCTGTCGAGATCTTCAAGGACACCAGGTGTAAGAAGGCAATGGGGATCCACTGGGGGACGTGGGCAGTGGCCGAAGACAATGTCCTCGAGCCGCCGCAGTTGCTCAGAAAGGCGCTGGCAAAAAGTGGACTGGCCGAGGCGGGAGTGTTTGATGTTTGCGACATTGGTGAGAGCAGAGAGTTTTGATAAGTTGGACAGAATAGAGATTAGTGACTCTATTTATACTATTTATACCTATAGCTGCCTTTCTTTATTGTTGTGCTTCTTATCTTGGAAAGGAGCAATCTTAGCCTTTTAGAAATTGGTAGACTAAAGGTCTTATCTATAGTTTAAAATGATTCCTAGAAGTACCCTGGTGAATTTATTTAGTATGAGATCCTTAAGTGCTGTCGTCTCTATATCCTGTCTGTCTTGGGATTGTTTAATTTTCTCCCTCACTTCAGCGAGCATATGGCTTTTGCCTATTAAAGGCTGGCCATATCCCTCCATCAACAGTCTACGCTAAATTGAGACCATTGATGAGTGTCGCGATTCTAGGACGGGCGTCATCTTCTATACAGTATCTCAGCTGAGATGCTCCTTGTGGTCAGAAGATGGCTTCAATTTTTTCTGTAGAAATCTAATGGTAGACGTCTGCCGGGGTATCATTCCAGTGCTTCTGCACCATCTGTTCCATGTCGTAAAGGGTGTTGAATAGCAAGGAAAAACACATTGCGTGAGACCTTTGCTGCGCTAGGCTCTACAGAGTATCCTCTAAGTAGCCCCCTACTTAGAGGAAACCCTAAACCTAAACCCTAAACCTAAACCCTAAGCCCTCAACCAATCTAGTTAGGAATATATTTGGCTTAATGCTTTGGCTGGGCTTATAAGCTTACTGATTGATGAGGTAATCATTAATTGTCGCCTAAGGCGACAGGATAAGATGCCTCAGGCATTCAGGTGTTAGAAAGCGCCTTCCCCTTTAGGAATAGCGCCATTCTTGGGGATAGGATACGCGCCTCGCGTCCAATCTCTCTCTTCTGTTCCTCATTGTAATGGCCCTAATAATGATAAATGAGTTATATTGGTGGCTTCTAAATGAAATAGTCGAACAAGGAGGGAAAGAAGGAAAGAGAGATCACATCAGACATAGAGCTAACTAGTCCCAAAAGGGGATGGCGGCTCATACCGCTCACCATTCACCTGACCTGCCTAAGGCATCCCTTTCTTTGAAAACCACCTCGCCGTCGCCGTTATACTCGTCTAATCATCATAATCTGCAGAGTAGACGGGTCGAATATAATCTGTTGTCATTGAGAGGCCGTCACATTGATCAGTGATAGAATATTCCATATGGTCAGAAATGATCTACTATATATATTCATCTATGGTCCGTTCACCGTTGATCTTGAATGCCTGAATTCAATACCAGTGGCCCAAAACCTAGAGAAGGCGAATTGAAAGATATTTCCACTGAGCTATTTTGGCCTACTCTGGAACTACTCAACAGCAATGATACATGAAATATACGATAAGCTATAGAATAGGCTGCCAGGCCTTGATCGCGTCGGACACTATATTATGGATTCTGTACCCCACTCAGCCTCCCACTATTATATTTTCAACCAGAGTCTTTCCGAGGCAAGTCGACTGTAGAAAAATGCTGAAACATGTGTGGGATAAAATGTTGGACAGGAGACAGTTGTTCTATTGTGGTGTCGCGGCGCCAATATGGTCTCCATCACGTGGCTATCTAGCTAATTCTGACTAAGCAGGGCATGAGCCGAGAGAGGCCTGCCTTAGGCTACAACAAATAGATGGTAGTTAGATTAGACTCAAGAATACATTAAAAAAATAAGCATCACTAGTTAAACTGGTGGGGTGCGCAATATTACAGACCCATCTACTAGTGGGGATGCATGTCCCCACCTTGGCTGTTATCCATAGACCCACATGGCGGTACACGGTATTTCAAGAATACAGTATTGAATCGCCCCACTGGCTCCACTGACAGGGGGTAGATAAGGTTCTACACTAATTTAGTTACTTTTTCACAGGCGTAGGGCTGGAGCCACCATAATACCGGCCGCTAAACGCTAGACTGAAAGGCGGGCCATGACTATTTGGACGACATAGTTTTGTATGCAGGTGATATTGTAAATTATGTACTAGGCTGGCAGGAGCTGGTATACTGCCGTATCTATGTCTAGGCAGAGTGAAGTCAGACACGGTTGGGGTCGACAGCGCCGCCGAGACCGTCGAACAGGCGCTCGGCGGGCAGTAGCCATGGTTACAGTCATAACTGCAGAGCCCGTCGTAGCTGGCGTCCTCGCCTGCGATCGGGTACCCCTCGACCCCCGTAGCGTTCGGGGCGGTCTTCTGGGCGCCCATCAGGTTGCACGTACAGGCGCTGACGGGGCAGTACCCGTATTCACAGGCAAAGCCGCAGATGCCCTCAAAGTTCTCCCACCCAGTGCCATTCACACACACCTGGTCGGAGACCGACAGGGCGGGTGTGGCCGAGACCGTGGCCGAAGACAGCGCGCTGCCCACCCAGGCGTTCCAGTTCTCAATGTCGTCTGTACAGTCGCTGGTGATGGCCTTGCCCGCCACCGTCGCCAGGGAGGCCCCATCGCGGCTCAACACCACCGTCACGTCGCCTGTCAGCCCGGAGAACGAGACGCTGCCGTGGTAGATGCCTATCCCCCCGTCGGGGGTCGATGTCCACGCCCCCGTCAGCTCTGTGTCGCCGACGGTGACGGTGACGTCTGCCGTGGACCCCAACAGCGCGGAATACATGATCTCGTCGTCGACAATGTCGTACGGCTCGAACTCGAGCTGCAGCTCGCTCGCCGTGTTGCCCGAGGTATCGCCCGTGTCGCACGCTGTCTTGGGGTTCACCCGGTACCACGCAACAATCCCCTCCTGCGTGATGGTGGCCGTACCCTCCTTGTACAGATCGATCATGTACGGTAGAAAGGCGCGCCAGCCGTCGTGCGGCATCTCGTCGGCGTAGTTGTAGGGGGCCTCGCCGATGGAAAACGCCGCAAACGCATAATCGCGCAGGGGGCCGATATAGTGAGACTCGCCATAGTCGTTCCACGAGATGATCTCTACAAACGGCGGGTCCAGGAACAGCACCTGGTTCCATCGCTCGTACCATAGGTGGTCGCCGCGCCACAGCCAGTTCTTGTTGTATCCCGGCAGGTTGGTGAAGAACCACGGACTCACGGCCATCATGTACGGCAGGTCGTCGAGGTACTGGATGTACGAGGCGTCCGTGTACGTGTTCATCTCCGTGTCCCCCCAGGGCCAGGCCGCCCAGCTGAACAGGCCGTCGGCCGTGCCCAGCTCCAGGGCTGCCTTGGCCCCCAGCGACGACCAGTCCGGGATGAACATGCAGTTGAAGTACTCCTTGAGGTACGTCCAGTCGGCCGCGTTGGCAGGGCCCTCAAACGTCGACACCAGCGGCTGGTCGTCGGTGATGTAGTAGGCGTCCAGGTCGATGTATTCGCTGAGGATATCGTACACCTCGTCTTGCGACCACGCTCCGTTGCCCGCGTAGTCGAACGAGATGAACAGCTTAAAGTCCAGCGAGTCGGCCGCCGTGAAGGCGTTGGCCAGCTGTGAGTTGGCCGTGTCTCCCACGGCGATGTTCAGCGCGAACGCATCGATGTGCGCGGTAACAGCCAGCGAGATGTCACTCTCCCAGTCGGCCAGCGTGTAGTTCTCCGAGTTGGTGACCTGGATGAAATTAGATGAGTTGCTGATGAGTGTGGTAGAAGAAGAATACCATAAAATGGGCAAACACTGCCTTGGCCTGTACCCGGCATGTCAGCGCCGTGAGTAGCCAGAATAGCCACATGGTGGATAAGGTGGACAAGGATATCAATAAAGAGTATAAAAGGAATCAATATAGGTAAAGAATGAAGTATATAAAGAGTGAAAGGAAATGAATGAAAGATTGAATCAGTAGGAAATCTAAGGAGTGATGTAAAGAGTAAGTATCAGTAAGGGAAATATGAAGAGATAGTGCTTCTTATAGGATTTTAGTATGCTAAGATTACACATAACAGTCTCTTCTACATCACTAGTTAAATTACCTTATACTAGATGCCCTAGTATAATTTGATACTAGTATTACTAGTACTACTAGTATAAGACTAGAATACCTATAAAGCCCCTTCTTACTTGGTAAACCTACCACAAATCACTTTTCCTTTTTCACAAGTCTCCTTGACCATGAAGCTGCTCCTCCTTGCGTCTCTCGCCCCCCTCGTGGCAGCCACGGACTGCTGGTCCTCTTCATACAACAACACCATTGCATACTTCAGCAAAGCCCCCATCGCTTTCAAATACAGCGTCTCAGGTCCCGCAGCCTGCGCCGCCTGGTGCCAGAGTATTGACTCCTGTCAGGCCTGGGTGTATCTGCCGCGCCCGGGACAGTGCGACCTGCACCGCGGCGCCCCGCTGGACACTGCGTCAAACACAGGGTTCGTGTATGGGACTTGCCGGGGCAATTCCTCTGCGCTTCCTAGCGAAACCACCGCTTCAAGCTCCACGGCTAGCAGCAGCGCCGTTATCCACCCAAGTGGAACTGTTGTACGCCCCGCTAATACTACGTGATAAAAATACAGCTAGCTGATGTTTTCATAGCAGGGGAAGGCCCGTCGGGATCCCTTACACAACACTCATGGCCATTTTCATAACCATCATGGTGGAAGGACTTGAATTGGGTGCCGAGAATAGTTGGTTAGTTTAGGTAGTGTTGATTTAATAGGTCAATAGAGAGCTTTCTCTGATGTAATAGATATAGAACTTAATAGAAAGCTTAATCAGTCTGATCATGTTCACCGGCATTACATCCGCGGGCCGAATGGGTCCCTACGGAAGTAAATTACCTCCAGTGAACCCACAGAACATAACTATGTAGTAGTAAATCCCTAGTTCAGGGGCCATACCAGGACCCACTGCATGTTTTAACACTTCTTATCTATATAATATAATTACAAATTAATCTCCTTCCTTATGACCTATTCACCCCAGATAAATTGACTTTATTATAACTAGTCAGCATAGTTCAGACTCCAGTACATGAAACTCTAAGAATAACCAGCACCAGTAGAAAGTGGCGAGGCAATGTAGTACGAGCTAGTAACTAGATATACCGCTAGAGCGTTAGCGTCAGTCATGATCGGGTGGCCCGAGAGCCACACGAACCCTGGTTCACTTGAGCCTCGTTTTGATTAGTATCTTAGGACTATTTATCACTAAACTAGCGTCGTGAGATAAACCGCAGTAGATTAATTCCACCAGTTGATTTTGGTTACTTGCTAGATTCAAGATTCATAATTAAATCACATCTATTAAAAAGATTTCATGATCTTTATCAGATTTCAGCTGCGAACTGGCGCTTTGACATGCCAAGCATTGCGGATTAGATAGGCTCGGTCCGCTGATGTTTTCGGCCCGGACATATCTTGCCAAGGACCGAAACTTAAGCGAGCTGAGAGAATGGATCGATACTCATTTCAGGAACCCCACATGGCCGAGCTATGCGCACAGAGCAATTTAGACCCTAAGACGACTAATCAAATAGTATAGGCGTTAAGGCAGAAACCAGTGGCTCATCACCAACTGTGCATTATCCCTTTTCTTTCTAGACTATATTTTAGCTATCTATCATCCCTGTCTATTTTCATAGAGAATATTGCTAGTAGAATTATTCCCGCTAGCGAGTCATTAATCCCTCAAATACGAAGTCATCCCTGAGGGCTAGCTTGATGCTAGTCTACTAGCTTCTATGAACAGCTTGGCGGGCACTTTCACAGGTTTTTGACTCTATTTACTCGCATCAACTATAAATATTTTTTACACTATTTGCACATCATGTCTAAAAGAGAATGTCTATTCTAGCTGCATAACATCTGAAAATCTCAACAGGGTCTACTAGAAAGGAAATGATATCTAAGCGAAATCTATCTTCCGCGCTAAATTTTATGGGCCCTTAAGATTGCATGAGATGACCCACAATCTATTGATAGGATCCCTTGATAAGCCCAGCCAAGACTTCTTGCGCTCGGAGACTGTCCGGAAGGGCTTGGCGCGATACACTCGAGCTAGAGTATGCGCTTGATATGCTAGATTCGAATTTACGAAGTAGGCATCTCACGGAGTAGTTCCGTTCCGCAGTAATTACCGCACTAACGTCTCCAGCTACTTGCTAGGCGAGGGACAAAATAACACTATACAGACTATTCCAGGTCCTAAATGACACATTTTAATGACTGGAAATGCCACTTCCTCCCAACCTAAGCCATCACCGGGCTTTGGTTTCCCCTTATGCACTAGCTTCAGTGTGATATTGGCGGGGCTGATGGAAGAAAAATCCCTCATCCAGCCATTTTGAGCGTTTTCGATCATGCTAGTAGTAGTGAGAGATGGACTGGATAGTATAACAAAGGACTCAGAAAGCAGCGTATGGATCATGGGAAATGAGACCTGATAATGCTCCTGGATGGTACCTACCTGGTATCTACCATGTATGGAACTTGTAATTCAGATGTACCTAGCCTTATATTATGTCTAATATATAGGATGTCTATACCATGAGCAGAGAAGAATACTCCTTGATGTTTCTTTCCTTCCACGGTCTCCTCTCCTTTAATCAATATCATCTGGATACTATAACTTCATTCATTTATCCACTAATTTGTTTATTCATTTCTTGATACACTATCCTTTATATCTCAAAACACTATTGTCCATTTCTCCTTCTATCATGAATCTCCATTATCATTCAAGGGGAGGAAGAATCCATCCTTTTTTGAACCCCCTGATCATTTTCCTTGCGTTTTTGGCACTTCTGGTCACTTATGATGGCACCCAAGCATTGGGATCTCCGGTGCATGATGTTGATCGACCTTTTCTCGACGCCTCGCTCAATCTCCCGCTAAAGGTCTCTCCTTCTCATACTGATAAGAAATCCCATTCTGGCCTTGCAAAGCGCGTCACTCTTAAGTGGGATGAATATGTTGAAAGAGGGGCCAGTTTCCTGTGCCGCATGGACTCGACAACCGCAACGGCCAGCGTGTGGACCGATTATGCTTCTCTTACAACATGGGGATGGGATGAAGATAAAAACGCCGAGGTGATTTTCGATGATGCGCTTGACGAGGCCTTTGAGGAAGCACTGGCTCTTACAGCGGCAAACATTCAAGACAATTTCAAGTTCATCAGTATGGCGCAGATTCAGAGTTTTGTGCTCGGTGGAAAACCAAAAAACGTATTTTCCCCCTTCTATTGCTTTCTGAGAAACACGAAACTAACACAGAAACAGCCCACCAAGGGGTATTTTGCCAACTCTTACAATGTCATTGACGGTGTCATCGTTGCCGATGATTTACTTTCCCCCAACCAGACAGGCGCGAAAGAACTCCCAGAACTCAAAAACTGGTCTGACGTAACCTTTTTGGTCTGGAAAAGATTGGCCGCAGTTGCGAACACAGATATCAACAATATCAAATATGTCTTCCATGCCACTATCAGTAATGGTGTTACAAATTTGATTATTAATGAGGCATTTGCTAAAAGCGACAAGACTCTGGGCGACTGGGCCAATGCAGTGACCTTTGAGATGACTACAGATGCAGGAAAAGCTCTCTTAGGTAGCCCCAATGGAAGTGCTGTTGGATGGTTCATTGTTCAGCATAAGGCCGCATTTGGGGAGAAGCGGAAGGTGAAGTCGGTGACTGTTTGGGCGGATGGGAATGATAGAAATATGTTCTTCACTCTGAATGATCCCAGCTGAGTTACAGGAGAGGCTCTATTCTATGTAGGATAAGAGAAGGTTGGCGTCTTCTGGGCAAATGAAATTGAAATCGGTCCATCTGAGCTCTAGCTCTAAATACTATTTATCAAGCATAAGAGGTGATAGACTTGGGAATGGATTTAGCTGTGCCGCGTGGACCCCCTTCCATCATTCTATCTTTATCCTAACTCAACCATCAACATGAAAGCCCCGGGATCTATTCCACCACTCAAACCATGCTTCGTACAAAGCTGGTCTTATCTCAGCGAACCACCTCTCATCGGCCTCTGTAAGCAGACTTCGCCACCGAAAATGAAATTCGAAGCCCATCGGCCGCTTACGTTCAGACTTGGACTTGAAAAGGTGCGACAGGTCGTTAGGAGTAACAGATTCCTCTGAATCGAATCCCATTGTCGCCATGGTATCCCTCCCCCAGAAGGCAAACCCGTATCGTCTAAATGGGTCGAACGGGATTGCTGTCAAAGGAGATGGTCTTTTAAAAAAAAACCCCCAGTAAAACTGTCCACGGGATTCAAAGAAGAGACGGCAGTCATCTTTATGAGAGTGTTGCCAGACATCGGAGCCTCCGCGGGTCGGCCATGCGTATCTTTTCAATCCGTTATACCGTGGAAACGGCGACAACAGCGGATTTGAGAAGCCGTTGTATAGGCTCTCCAGGGCCTCGACGACGGATATCAATGGCTGACACTTATTTCGCGAGTCAAGGACTTGCCAGAAGTCAACGACTGAAAGAGAAGCGAGACGCTGGACATAATTTTCCCCCCAATCTGAGATTCGTTGCTGACGCGCTGCCTCCTGAAGCTCAAAGAGCAGCTGGATATGCCACATCGATTCCATCACCTTATGCCGTTCTACCAGTGTCGGGGGTCCGGGGTGGGGCGCTTTATATGGTTTCCCCGCGGGGTGCTGGTCGTACGCCTGCGGCGCGCGCGAGGTGCGTAGATTGTATTTGAACCAGGGGTCTTCGAGGCACTGCAGATTTGCTGACTGAATGCGCTGCATCCAGAGCTCGATGCACTGCTCAGCGAGATGCTGAATATGGCATGCCAAAACGAGAATCTCGCGCATGGCAGGCGCAGAGTTGCGAGGAACCGTGCTCGAGAGAAGGGGCATCGACTCCCATCTCTCACCCCCAAATCCGTCGTCGCCGAAGAGGGTGAGAAGCTCTTCCACATCCTTCTTGGTATATGTGTTGCACTTGATCCGGGCAACGGCAAGAATCAGATGCCGAATGGGCAGGGACATGCTGGCTGTGAGGACGGCCCCTGTGATTTCCACTCCATAGTCGTTGAAGACAGCGGAAATGGCGGGTGAGGCGTGTAGCAGGTGGTGGAGAGAGAGAAGATCGGGGACCTCCTTCAGGAGATCCAGCAGGAGATGTAGAGGAATCTGTTCGAAAGGATCCATGGTGGTGGAGGTTTGAGGAGCGAGGATGCGTTCCGGCTATTTATCCTGAAGTGGGATAATGAAAAATACCTCTAATTAGGTGGGGGCGGTAAAATACTGTATTTTTCAGGGTTTATCTAACCTCTTTTGCTCTAGGCTGCAATCCAGATCTGATTGGTAGATAGAGAAACCCACTCTATGGGTAGATAAGGTACGGAGTACTCTGTAGTTACTACTTATCTCCTGATGTGGATAAAACAATCCCCGGCTAACTACCCTCTTAGAACTAGAGTTATGTAGTAGAGACCTCTTCAAGAACACTCTCATAGCTATATAATATGATTTCAATTAAAGATCAGAGTAAAATATAACTGCAATTATACACTTTGCCGTTAATACATAGTTATTATAGCCCTTGAAGTCAATCATGTTAAAACTGTGTTTTTTAAGATATGTAGTAGAATAGTAATACCAGGTGGCACGCCGCCCGCTGGACCCCCAGGCTTGCTTAGGCTTTGCAGGGGAGTCATGTGTCAGCATAAGTCATTATAGAGCGAAGCAGGTGGTGGTCTATCTTTTACTATAGATAATTAAATATCTAGTCAAGTACCAATCAGGATAACTTAATGCATTAGCAGCCACTCTGGACCTACAGCTCTATATAATTTATAGAGTGAAGCTCTACAACACTAGGGTTTAGGGTTTAGGGTTTAGGGTTTAGCTATAGTTCTCTATATAGATATAGCTCTTGCAGGTGGAGTTGCGAGCTGAGGGCTGTAGGTCCAGAGTGCTGCCATCTATTAGCATCTAGCATCTAAGCGAACATCTAACTGAGCATCAATAACAAGAATAGGCCCCTGGTAATTGATGCTAGTTAGCAGAGCTATACTCTATAATACTGGTATTCATGTACAAATTATAGGCTGATGACAGTCACTCCAGGCCTGCGTCCCATTTGCAGGAGATAGAAGATTAAAGAAGTTAATTAGGATCAATAAAAAGTCAATGTAGGAATAACATGAATTGACATATATGATCATGGTACCCTAATTCTAGCCCTAACTTCCAGATATAGATATATCATATTTCAAGGCTAATAGGAGAGTCCGTTTAGTAAAAGGCTATTCAATAAGATTAAGCTGAACTATTAATAATTGAATTGTATAACTAGGAGCACAAGAATGAGTAAAGGTGGTATTAATGTTAACTAAGATAGTATAATCTAGATCCTCCAGTATATCATATTCAGGCCAAAATGGACGAAACCACGTTCACGCAGCCCTGACCGGCATAGGACTTGTCCGTCGTGGAGGTGGCGATGAGAGCAATAGCAGCCGAGGTCTCGTCACTGGCATAGAACAGGGTGCCATTGCTGGAGACGGTGGTGCTGTTGGACTCGTTGCCCAGCAGGCTCCAGGTCACCGAGGGATCGTTGGCCGTGAACTGCTGGCTGGAGCCCTTGTCCATCTCCCACTCGAACTTGCCCGTGTAGGGCTGGACATCGATGCCGCCCCAGCCGATCTTGATGCTCTCCTGCCACGCCCACTTCTCATGGAAGATCCAGGTCGCGGTGCGGTTGATGGCGTATCCGGGCTCGCCGGTCAGGTACGGGGAGGCCGCGTCGGGGGAGAGGGTGGCGCCGCCGTTGTACGCCTTGGTGAAGGTGACGGGCTCGCCGTCGACGGTCTTGGTGGCGGTCGCGTTGATGCGGGTGGTGACATAGACGGTGTTGCCGATCAGCTGCACGTTGAGATCCTCGACGCCCGAGCCGTCAAACACGGTGGCGGCGGCGGTGGAATTGACATAGACGCCGGTGCTGTTGGTCGTGCCTGCAAAGTACTGGGTGACTCCATCGACGGTCGTGCTCAGCGTGTAGTTGCTGGGCACCGTGATCTGGCTGACGTCGGTCAGGTTGGCGAGCCCGTAGAAGCTGTAGGTCGTGACTGTGCCGTCGACGGTGGTGCCGCCGCCGCCTTGCTGGGTGAGGTAGACAAACACGCTGGCGATGTCGTACGTCTTGGAGAGGGCGGCCGCCGCAGGGCGGGTGCCCTGCAGGCGGGCGCCGGCGACGGTGACGGTCATCTCGGTGTAGACGGGCTGGAAGGCCCAGTTCTGCAGGGTGATGGCGATCTGGGTCTCGTTGCTGGAGGTGTTGATCACATAGTCGAGATCGGGCCCCAGGGTGGCCCGGTCGCCCGACAGGCTGGACAGGACGATCTCGACGTCGCAGGCCTCCAGGGCTGATGCGTCGGTGTCCTGGGGCCAGGTGATGTAGACGTCGTCGGCAAAGGCGTCGGCCAGGTTGGGCTTCTCGCCCTCGCCCACCCAGGTGAAGATGGGCTCGGCGCCGCTCGTCGGGGGGTTGGAGACCTTGTCGCTCAGGGGCTCGATCACGGCGTCCACGGGGGTGCCGGCGCCGTACTTGGTCGCGGCGTCGCTGGTGTAGTTGTAGCCGTAGATGTAGATGTGGGCGCGGAACTGCGCCGCGGCCACGGGGAGGCCGTTGTAGGTGATGCCGGCCACCTCCAGGTTGAAGATGTAGTTGCCCTGCCCGTCGCCGCCCAGACAGCTCCATTCGCGCCCGCTGTCGTCGTCGGTGATGAGGTAGTCGCCCGTGTTGATCACCATGTCCCCCTCCTGCAGGGAGTAGCTGGTGCGCCCGTTGAGCCACGATCCCGTCAGCCGGTCCGCGTTGAGGGTATACTCGGTCGTGTAGTAGCCGTCGCCCCCGGCGAGGCTGACCGTCGCGTCGTCGTATCCGATGGCCGCGTCTTCCAGCTCCGGCAGCTCCAGGTCCAGCAGGGCCATGGTGTTCGGGTCGTACGTGACGTTGATGCCGAACAGCTCCTTGAGCGTGCTCTTGGCGTGCGTGTAGGCGCTGCCCATGATGTTGCTCTGCACGGTCAGCTTGGGGATGCTGTAGGAGCCCACCGCCAGGCTCGCCGGCTCATACGACGCCTTGCCCGTCGTCGCCAGGGCGCCCGACGGCGGCAGCACCTTGAGAGCGCCGGGGCCATTCGTGCTGAAGCCCGCGATCTGGGAGGCGTCGAGCTGGATGGTCAGCGTCGAGCTGTCGACGACGACCGCCTGGGCGACCGTGGTGCTCTGGTTGAAGGCAAGATTGTCGTTGCAGTCGATGAACCAGGAGGTGACGTCGGCGAGAGTCTCGACCTTCCATTTCAACCCGCAGTTGGCCTGCAGCGTGAGGTTCTGCGCGCTCGTGTCGTCGATCGCGAGGGTGTCGCTCTGCAGCTGGTATGGGGATGTACAGGCCGCCTCTCGGTGATACAGAATGCCTGCGCGGCCTCCAGCGATCAGCCCATTGATGGCCACGAGGCCGGTGAGCAGGGAGGCGGAAAGCATGGTAACTTGAAGCAATCTGCTGCAGGGATGAGAGGTGTCGGTCTGCTCACATTGGAGCAGCGCTGCTGTGTCTTATATATAGTGATCTCTATCACTTCCCTCCAGCACAGACTCGACCGCTTCCAGTGAAATCCTTGACTCGGTAATTAGATCCTTCGGGAAAACACTGTACCACCATATCAGGACCAATCGGTGGCACCATAAAATGTACAAGAGCTCCAGTCCGGTTTGCGGGGTTCTCTATGTTACCCCACAAGGTCTGCCAGTAGCCCTTATAACATGGGGCGACGGAGTATTATCGGCGATCCTACTTGCTAAAAACACGGAAAAGCGCTTTGGTCTCTTTGCGACTTGGGTGGTATTGCCGCGCTATATTCTGCTGTCGTCATGAATTAATGTCCAGTAGGCTATTTCATGGAAATGGCAGTATCACTCAGCAATGACCTGATCATATAGTCCAAGGTCAATTTAGAAACTGAATTATCTGCTTCTACGGCGCACTCAAGGCGGGGGTCAAAGCGCATAACAGGCTCTAGCGCGCTGGTTCCCCCATGTATCTCCACATTATTTCCGTGTGGCTGGATCAGATGACATGGTCTGACCATTACTGCTAAATAACTTGTCCTGCTTATACATTGTCCTACTTATAACTTGTCCTGCTTATAACTTGTCCTGCTTATAACTTGTCCTGCTTAAAACCTGTCATTACTGCTTAGGTTTAGATCTAGCTTTTAAAAAGGCCAGCTGTATATCTTCCCTCTGCCATGAACACAGAATAATACTAAAGCAAGTACTATTTGACTATCTATGAATACCCTAACCGTAACCCTAATCTAGGACTGTGAAAAGAGCTTCTTGCAATGTCATGTTTGACAAAATTTTCAAGATATCATAAGACACCTCATCATCAGCCTGACGAGCTCCAATCCTAGAGTGAACTGAATAATCTTGAAAAAGCATACAAAACTACCAGGGCTGGCAACTAGCCTTATAACAGGACCCAAGCTGAATCTGACAGAAGCGGTCGTTTGTTGTGCGAGGATATTAAAATGATGGGGGATAATCAGGGTGAGATTGTTCCGAATTAGGGAGTCCAAGCTTTATACTCATCTCTGGATGCGAGAAACTAGCTCCGCTCGACAATGTCATGATCTATTTTAATAGGTCTTTTGGGACTCCTGATCGCCAGTAGCCTGGTTCCAGCTCTAGCCTGTTTGCTTTGCGTATTATGCTAACTCTGTCTCCTAGTCTTATTCCAGGATTCTACATATTGTAAGGTGATTGGAGTGTCATTTCTCGCACATGGTTTAGTGAGAGTAACAGTACTCATGAAGACAGTCATTCAAGGCTGACTTATGTTTTTCCTTTTCGTAAACTCGTAAATACAGTATTAAAGCTTGAAACTCACTGGACCACGAGGTGTATAGTCATGGGATAATTGATCCAGGTATAGTAGGTCATAATGTGGATCATCGAGATTATGTATATAAATATGACTCTTTCAGAAGGTCCTCCATATGGGCCTCTGTGTCCTTTATCTAAGACAAACATCAAGTTGCTTACTACCTAGGGCATTATGTCCAGAATTTAGGAGATGAACAGCTAAAAGGCTATGTCAGAGTAAAGGCTATGGGGAGGATACATATAGTTTTATACTATATAACCTAAGAACCAGCATAATCTGGTTATATTGGGATAGGTTGCTTGTAGTAAAAGTTGGAAACTTACCAATGGATCAAATATGCCTTATCTTTATCAATGCTAGAGCTTTCTCTCAAGGCTAATAGTGCATTATATAAAATAATGGGTATTATTGATCATCTTACTATATATGTACTTAGGTGTGGCAGCTTGGTTGGTCTGGCAGTTACTCTAGAGAAGAAAGTATTGACCAAATAAGATAGATAAGTAGAAAGATTAGTATTTAGACCCCTTTGGCAGCTCTTTAATTTATACTAAGCTTGCTCAGGTATAGTCAGCTCCATCAAACCTTACCAAACTCATCAATATCCACCATCACTAGCTGTATAGGTTGGATCACGTCGACATTGTCGCTGCACGCTGTAATCCACTCGTCCGCCGGTGCCGCATCCCAGATGCCGCGGCCTCTGCGACACCGCGCTACATAGTCCAGAACAAGGCACAAACCATCTGCGCGACAAGGCAGCCGCGAACGGTGCGGATGTGCCGCTGCGCTGCTTCAGGCTCGATAGGCGCCAGGTGTGTACTTGGCGGGACCTGGACGGTGATGACACTGGCGATTTGGCCAGTTGGCTGGAGATGGTGCCTTGGGCGGAAGGCGGCGGAGTCTAACCTGGAATCGTTAGCTTCCGCTGGCGGGCGCTAGCTTGGAGGGGCTAGCCTGCGCACGTGCACTATACCAGATTAGGATGGCTACATATAAACCCTAACCCTAACCCTAACCCTTCCCTGCTTACAGGGATACATGGGTATTCAGACGGTTGCTGAAGGAAAACCCTAAACCCTAAGAACCACTGGACGACGGGCACGTAGAGTATTGAGACCGACTTCGCCCGGCGAGTCTGTTGTCGTCGAGCCCCCGCCCTTCGCCAGGACGGCACTCCGCAGAGAGCACTGCGTTATCGACACACTTGTGCTCAGCGCCGCAGACTTTGCCGACGAGAAGCCCTTGCTGGATCTGGGCTCAAACTTGCTGTGGCGCTTATACAAGGTCAATGTGCGCAGGCTGATTGACATGGTCAAGGGGCTGTACCAGCAGCGAAATCGTGGGCCGGTACGCTTCATCGCCTCGGTGCTAGCTAGTGGGTGACCCTGACCATGGCTCCGGCATGTCTTCCATGTCTCTTTGCAGGTCATCAACATGCTATACCAGTCACAACTTGCCCCCTCCGTTCGGTGGCAAGCATACAAGCTGACCAAGAGCGCGGGTACAATGCTGCTTCAGTAGATAGCCAAGGACATCTCGCCAGACGAGATGCACATCATCAGCTTCCACCCGGGACTCATCCATAATGCCCAGTGGGCGACTAGGCACAAGCTGGAGGTGGATGACTACCCGTGCGTTGGAGTGGCCAGGATATAAGGAGCGTTTAAAGGCTGACAACAGAACAGAATAAATAAATAGCATATGATTTCATATTTTCATGCACCGGTACCATCATATAGTCAATATCCATAGATGCTTGATGTATATCCCATCAATATACCTATTTTGAAACGGTTTATTTGCAATACACCTGGATCAGCTGCCACAATAAAGGCTGTCGTTTGGTCTTTATCATCAATGGTTTTGATACCTGCTCCTCCCCCAATTAGCAAAAGCATAAAATCTTCATGATTATTTACAGTGCAGAGGTAAAGAGCATACCACGAAGTCAAGGCTTTTTATTGTCTTGTTGGCTCGGAACTTCGTTTTTTCCAAGCAAATTTTTGTATTAGTACCTGACCCGAGCTCGAGCAGCATCTTCAGACTTTCCAGACGTCCCATTTTGCACCCAGCGATGAATAGACCATTTAATCCACTGCCAGTACTTATAGCCAAAAGATAAGCAACTAGCCATATAATAAATATGGTGTTCATTGATCCTCAGGACAGCAGCCCTCCTCTTGCCTATACTACTCTTACCCGGCTCATGTAGGCCCGTGAGAGTAGGGCAGCCTTGCACGATGTATCCGCCAGGCAGTATTAAATGCAGGGAAATAACATGTGGCTAGCGGGATGTCCTGTATACTTATGTCTGATCGGACGTTAGATATATTGTAATAATACACTGCGTAAATCAAACTGACATAGGCTTAGGGTCTGGCTTAGTGGCATAATAAGTGAGTCCACCTTATTTACCAGACCTCTGAGTTACTATTGTTCTTAAGTACTTAGATAGTACCATCACTAAGAAGCTTGTGTTTACTCCATATCTAATGTATATAGTGACAATAAACTACTCAATGCTATCAAAAACTTCAGATTGTTTATAGTTAATAACTTAGGGTGACTAAACTTCAGATTTAGGGTCTTTATACTAATATGGAATAGAGATATTATATGTATATGTCAGGCTGTCATAATGGATATCACATTAGGTACATGTGAGACAGTTATGGTATCATCATATAGTTCCATTCATAAAACATCTCTATTTAGAAAATATATATATACAAGTATCAATACTGCTCATATCGCCCATTCGGCGCCTGCCACTCTGGCTCAGCCACAGGAGGCAGGTGTAAAGGCATATGCTGCGGCACATACTCCGTGGTAGGCTCATGCATAGCTTCAGGCACATTCAATGGAGCATCCTCAGACATAGTCTCGGAGACAGGCTCATTCTTTTCATAAACCTGAGCATACTTCCATGGCATTTTAGAGTCTCGCCTCATGTTGCGGGTCTTGACGCCTGCCACGACAAGGATGATGGCGACAATCATCTCGGGCACCACACTTAGACAGATCTCGATGGCGGTCGAGGTCAGGAATACGGAACTGGAAGCCTTGGCTTCAAGTAGGAGGGAGGTCACAGCATATACAAGACGGATAGCGTTGAAGGGGAGCGCCCAGACAATCCCTAGAAGGAGCTAGTTTCCGTTAGTTAGAGGTCAGGATAGACTGGTATGGAAGTCTTACAATTCTCCCCCCTTCAAATGTCGGGGCTGCCTTGACCACACTCGAACGAAGAGAGATCAGAGACCAAATTGAAAGCACCAACCAACCAGTTGCGATGATACCAGCACCGCACCTGAGAAGGAGATTGGTGAGAGAACCAGGGCCTTTATTTTCCAGCCTCATGACAGCCACGACAACGAGGCCGGTGGCCATAAAGATGATAATATGGTATAGGATCTGGTAGACCCATTCTCGTTTATGGCTAAGCCGAGGATTGCGTGCGAGTCTCCTAAAACACGGTTAGAACACCCTAGGGTTATATTACTTTAAAAAAAAAATAAGGGTTTAGGGTTGGGATACTCACGCTTCATGAAGAATGCCAGCACAGGAAAATAACAGCGGCGACAGACCAATACTGCTGAGGATCAACGTGATCTCGCTGTTATTGTTCGGGTGAAGAGTCATAGCGTCGGTAACAATGCGAAGCACACAAAACATCTGCAGGTAGAGCCAACCGAGAATACCAGGCTTGCCATGTTTGAAGAGGGCGTATGTTGCCGGTTGGACGAGGATGAGGTAGATGATAAGCTTTGCCGCGGAGAGTTTGTCGATAGCCATTGCGTTTGTCGAGTTAATTGTTGATTTTAAAGTGGAATAATGGATAATTCTGCCTCTGTTTTTAGATTTTGGACCCTAGGAAGCTAGCTAGCTTTATATCTATGGTCGAGATTAAAGGTTTGTTTACCACTTCAGCTCTGACATCATCAATTTCGGGAGCGACATGAATTTCAGCGAACTGATTACTACAAAAGGTTAGTATAGTGCAACACTAACCCAATTAGGCTTTTCAGCCCCCAGTTCAATGATGGGGCTGTAACTCGACTAAAATAGTGTCCGAGCAGCATACCTCATGCGGATTAGTATTATGCAGATCAGCTGTCCAGTAACCAAATATAGAGAAATACTACTGTGCCCTGCCGTAGCAATGCCTCCTGGTCAAATTGTTGAAGACTCTCGTGGGGTTCAGGTTCAAGCTTTAATCAGGTCTACCTATGATGTGGCCCTGCCTTCTGGTGGGCCTGAGCTTATCCGCAAGCTTATCCGCAAGCTCAGGGATTATCAGCCCTGTCAAGGGGCGGGGACTGACCGAAAAATAGTCTTAGGATAACATAACTAGTTAGAACTACTAGTACAAGTAGGGTGCAATGAGAATCTTGCTCGAAGAGCTCAATCTAAGCCAGATAGGAATTCGTTAGGTTAGTCTATTTCTAAAGGGCAGCCAGGCAAAACAGATTTGAGCAGCTTCGCATGACTTACTCTGTGGGCATCCAACAGCTTTCCTAGGGACACACTGTGACAGAAATAAACCTGAATGTCCATGCCTAATTCCATGTTCAGAATTGAATGCATTCCTAAATGTGAGAAATCAGGGCTTCACCTAAACAAACTTTTAGTGCTTTGGCAAGGCTAAATTCAATATAAGTAAGAATAATCAGATAGGTAATCAGCAGTATTATGAGGATGTATATTATAGGGAAGTGTTATGAGAAATGGTGACTATTAATCTAAAGAGTTAGAACAGTGTGCTTAATTCATTAACAACTCAAATACTATCATTATATTCAGTTAGATAATATTTATTTAATGTTTAACTAGTATTTAGATATCCAGACTATATAGGCATTTGACACAAAAATAAGTAATAAATAATAAACATATTTTATTATATGATTTTATTCTTTGTTTAGTTAACCTTATCTCAATGCCATCAAGAGTATTTTCTATTTGAATATAAAAAAGTAGTTGGGCTTGATTATGGAGTAGGTGTTGACTACAATGGATATACGGATATCCATCGTTGGATATACGGTTTCTCTTTACATTGTTTACTTGACCATTTATTGACCGTTTCTTCTTAACATTCCTATTATTCACGTATTACCAGGGCCTAATCCTACTGCGCACTCATCAAATATGGACAATATTCGGCCCTTAAAGTTATCTAGTTAGTCAGTTCAATATAATCCTATTATTGGCTTCATATAGGGAGAATCTTTGCCTCATTTAGCTAAAAGTAGGTCCTTGACCAATGCTTATTTCCTGACCATCTCCACTACCACATCATTGATCCTGTGATCTACGCGAAGTACTCTGTAAAGTTATATGGCATTGTCTTAGCCACAGGTGGACCGTTATTTTATATTATCATACTAAAAGGCATTTCTTACCCTTGAAATCTACTTATCCCTGCATGTGATATCATTTCTCATCTACTACTGCATCTTCTGTTGTGAAAGCTATGCTGGAATATCTTGAAAAGGGAGACAGAGTGCCAGGGTAAACTGCCCATACTCATAGTATGAGCCTTCATTATAAAACAACGCAGCTATAGGAGAGATCGTTCGTTCAGTTTAAGCATTTCATATAGATCTGTCAGGAGAACTTCTCAAGATAAATTTATTCTAGGATATCAACTCTGTAACGGCGACGGCGAGGTCGTCCAGACGGACGAGTGCCTCAGGCCAACATGGTGAATGGACGAAGCCATTCCTCTTTCAGCCTCCTGGGGAGAGAGATATCTGTCGCACCTCGCGGCGCATCTCTCTCTCCTCTCCCCTTCCCTCCCCGTTCGATTCTCTTCGTATGAAGCCGCCGATATCAATATTATTCTTTTATTTCTATTGCTTAGACCACATAAACTCCAAATCCATAGGCGATCCTGAGCTAGTTTGCTCAAGTGCCACCCTATCCCTTGTTATATTCTATGTATGACGGACAAGGGATACATGCATAATAGAGGACTGTAGCACTACATCAAGAGTCTACTACATTAAAGTAAGGGAGTTACACGACTCATAGTATGAATTATGCTAGATGATCTATGCTTTTTTATTTATATTATTGAAATCTCTCAGCTCTTCACATCCTAATTATGAGGGTATGCTACTTTACATGTCTTGAGCTCCCAGTCAATTGTATAAACAACATTAGGGACTATAAGCAACTTGATCATGATTAAATTGCCCTTTTTTCCTGGTAGTTTAGCATCCCCAGGCCTAGCCTTACACTAATTCAGATATTATATATATAATAATAATATTATCAGTTACACTGTATGCATGAATATCAAGTACTCAAAGAATGATAGTTTTTTCTTTCACATTAAAAGAGCAGTGGGATGATCTACACTGCATTAGATAGACCACCCAAATACATATCTGATTAGATACTTACTACTATTAGTTATTTTTAATCCTGATTACCTTAAAAGATTACCAGCAATGTAACAACTGTGATTCCAGCCACAGTCTTTGGAAATTAGCAGTGAGTAGATGCATCTAGACCTCTATAGTACAGCATATCTAGTGCACTAGAGTACTTATAGCTATAAGAGTGAGTTGGATTAACTTAACTATTTTATAATCATATAATAGACCTCTCTAAAGCCAGGAGAGGCATAAAGAAGAATTAGTTAACTATAGAATCATAAAATGCTAAGCTACTTATAGTTAATGAAGAGCAATAAACCTGAGATTGACTAGCTATGAGTCTATATTAATAACCTAGCTTATACCTGCCTTGCACAACGCAAAGCCTGGTGAAGATAGGGAACCTTGCCACGGATGGCTGCACATTGGCTGCTTCTAAACCATTGCCTGAACATATGGGCTAATCCCGAGGCGGGCATCTTGGCCTACGATGGGTTGAGAAATGAGACCAGCAAGTATACCCAAGATACCACCTAGTCGTAAGCCTGGGCAGTTGACAAGATGGTAGGGAGAAAGGCGATAGAAGACCTGATAGGTAGTATAGGTCAGAGAAAGGGACTTATCCCAGGCAGGATTAGACAGAAATGTCATATCATTAATACTTAATATTACACAATGCCTTGCATAGAATTATGGTGGTCATGTATCTCTATATGCTATTAGGTGGCTAATGTAAGGGTGAAAGAAGACTAAATATCTACACCGGTAGACATAATATAACTATATATAACTTGATCTATACCTAGCTATATATTAAGCGATATATATTAAGCGATATATATTTAATTATCTTAAAACATTTTCATGACAATCTTGCTTACTTAACTAGCACCCTAAGCAATGGGAAACTATATCTCTCATCTAGTACACTATCTCTGGCACAAGCCACAGGGTAGATAGGTTAAACCGATAAAGTCATGGTTCCTCCCTATGGGCCCAACTCTTGTCATCCCATTAAATCATATCTTTTCCTTCCTCCAAGTCGACCCAGTTCCATCAACAAGTCACCGCCATGACATCGTCATTCACCCGCCATCATTTGGTGTTCCCTGGCCAACGACATTCCCCGCTGCCCGTCAATGCCGGTACTGGAAGCTTGCGATCCTGGCTTGCGAGGAGCTCGTTCGGGACATGCGGGCTCTACGAACCCAGACTAACAAACGGTTGCCGGACTGGTTCTCGCAATCAAATGCGGCTGATCCAACCTCTAACCACAAGGAGCGTCTTCTCGTGGACACGTCTGTCAGTGCGGCCATATATATGGCTCCTAATTCAGCCCCAGAGCGCATTCAGATCATTGCCCAGCTGTTTCTCCTTCTCTGGACACATGACGGTAAGGTTCTCTTGAAGGATGGGGCCGGAGTTTACTTACTATAAACAGACGTTGTGGAATTCAAACCAGCACAAGCAGTATGTAAGGTAAAAAGATGTTTTAGATCCTGGAAGTATTGAAGATATGCTGATGATACCAGGGCGAGACAGTAGTGGACAGCATCATGCAAGATCTCCTTAGCCTGTCAAGGAAGGAAAAGCCAGGAGCGACCCTAGAAATGGTTCCCTCGCTCACTTTTGGTTCTGAACTGCTGGATGACTGCCATGGTCTGCTGAGGGTTGTGTTGGCCCATTTCTGTACCTGGGTTTGTTTCACTCGTGAGCAACAACGGACCAACTTTGGTGATCTGCGAGATTACCTTGACTATCGAGCCTCTGATATAGCAGCGGAGTAAGTTTACTTTCTTTCTGATCAGAAATTGTCTAGCGCTCAACTCTAGTCTTATCTATATTAGCACAGTATCCTCATGTGTACGCTGGGGAAACCGTTTAGACCTGCAGACAGCAGAGCTAGCGAGTGTGCAGGAAGTAGTCAATCTCGCGATGGATCATATCATACTCGTTAATGACTTGTTCTCCTTCAACAGGGAGAAGAATGCAGCTGTGGAGGAGGGCGCCCTGTTTCTTAACGCAGTGCATTACCTAGAGGGTGTGCTGGGGGTCCACTCACCGCTCGCCAAGGATCTGACGATGCAGCTGGTGTGGGATTTTGAGTCAAAAGTCACAGCAAAGATCAGACACCTGCGGCAGTGTGACCGGCAGTAGTCGAGCATGAGCAGTGCCCAGTGGCGTTATCTAGACGCCATGGTGGAGGCAGCAGCAGGGAATCTGTTTTTCTCGCTGACTTCGGTGCGGTATGGGGCCAAAAGACATGATTGATCTTCTATCCATAATTTGATTTTTATGTTATCTTAAGTTGTCTAGATTGAAAACTGAATGCCTCGTTATTACTATTGAATATAAGGTTCAAGCCTTTGTAGTATGGAATATCTGAATATCCATCTATATCCAGCATACTGGATATAGCAAGGCTATTGAGAGTCACATACTTCTTGTAGTGCAATAACCACCCGCCTTATTTATACTAGTTGGATGAAATCCAGTGCTGACGGTATGGGCAGCATCGCTGATACACATTGCGGTGCTAGAGGGTATGATAGTATTCATTAAATTGACCAACAAACTGGCATATGCAAAGATAGGAGAGGAAGACTCCAGGCCAGGATATGATGGCCGTGCAGTATGCAGAAGAATTCGACCCCCCAAAAAAAGAATTCAAGATTGCTCAAGCTGGTCATTATATAATAGAGCAACACGGCCCTGGATAAGCCCAGCGGAATGATAACGTATGATGATGTTATGTAGGATAGCGCGAGGCGATGGGAAAAGGCAAACTGCACTGAGTCTATCTGGACAAGGCCAATCGACATTGCATCTGGTTTCTATTCTACGTTTTGCCTTAGACCCTATCCCTGAGAGATAGGGCACTGCTAGTAGAAGACCCCTAAGCCATGGCTTGTTCTCCATCTTTCAACAATGTAACAGCTTGGCCATTATCTATATCATGTACTGACCAGCTATCGTCTATTCTCTATCTCTACATGACTACCATATTTTGATATAGGGATAATAGTATTAGAACGACTTACCAGATGTCCTTATTGCTGCTGGTGGAATAGATAATTTGCTATAAGCCCACCTACCTTTCTACTTTCTCTTTAAAGCCAATACATATACCACTTCACCCCTTCATCCTCAAGCTTTTGCTACATCATAACATGATTTATCATATAATATATGAAGTAGTTGGATACAGAAGTAGATTCAGCAATCACTTACTTAAAATGAGAGTAAATAAGTCATTGACTATTCTATGGCATGGAGTAGTCTACTATCAAGGGCATTGTAGTGGTTGAGAGACTAACTAGAGATTATTAGAGCCCAGTGAAATGATTACAGTTCAATATTTATATGTTTATATAACTGTCAGGCCTCATGTAGATCTAGCAGGATATACTTAGCTCATGTGTAGGTATAATATTACCTAGTTGTTAATAATGAACTAGCAAGATTAGAATGACTATGTAGATTCTACCTTAATTGTAGATAATATTGATCAAAAGTAAACCCTAAATAGATTTCACTCCTCTTATGATAGCTTCAACTATAGAAGTAATTGTTACGATTTAGACGCCTCTAAATTTAAATATCTGTCACCACATATGGTGCAATGCTTGCCAGCTTTTCGCACGTTTCGGTCAGTTCTCGCTGCGGGTTGGACTGAGCAATGACGCCAGCTCCAGCCTGGATCCATGTACGATTCTGATCCTGGAACACAGTGCGTAGGACCAGTGCCGCCTCAAATGACTTTGGATCTTCAATCATGAAAACGGCGCCAGAGTAGAGCTCTCGCGGGCTATCCTCCAACCTTTCGATGGCTTCAATAGCTGCATGCTTTGGAATCCCTGATGCCGTAATTGACGGAAACAAGACTTCAAAAGCATCCCACATATCCTTTCCTGGCGATAGAGTCCCAGCAACGCGAGAACCCAGATGCTGAACAGAGCCACGCGATCTGATTGACATGAGATCCTCGACCATGATAGTGTCTGGTAGGCATAGCTTTTGAAGCTCTGTGGTTGCTTCTTTGACCGACAAAACATGTTCCAAGATTTCCTTTGGGTCGTTTAGCAGCTCGTCGCGCAACTTCCTGACTTCTTTCTTGGTTCCTTTGAGTGACCTCGTTCCAGCCAAGGGTTCAGTCACTACCCTTCCATTATCGAGTGACATCACTAGCTCTGGGCTAAAGCCTGTGGCCTGGAAGCCGCCATGATTCAAGGAGAATGTTCGCGCGGGAGTGTTGAATCGTCTCCCGGCAAGCAGAGTAGCGGGCATGTTGATCTTGTGCTTAATCTCCAATGCACGAGACGGAATAACCTTCGTGTATAACCCTTGCGATATGTCAGACAAAGCTTTTTCAACTCTAGCGGAGTATTCGCCTTTGACGTCCCGAGTATCAATGGCAAAACCATCCTGAGGGCAGACTAGGCAGGGGCCACTAGTATCAAGTCGAATTGACTGATATAAGGCCTTGACTTCTTCGCCATCAATTCCCTTAACGGTCACAGAATGTTGATGAATAAGAATGTCGATGCGGGGAATAAGCAGGGCTAGAAGGGGCCAGTTGCCAGGTCTGAATGCTTGCCCTCGAATATGTGCCGCATAGTTGAACCCAGCCTGGCCAAATATCTTATAGCCGACTTTCACGTTCTCTGAGATGAATTTTCTCACAATGTCAGAGACCGAAGATCCATCAATTGGGCGCGATATTCGACCAGATTCTGTATCAATGGTCATATTCCTCGCTTCGGAGTCAACCACCAATGATGCTTGATTTCCAAGGCCCATGTACCATTTTTCTCCTCGTTCATATGCGTAATAATCATCGGTTTTGTGCCTTGCTAGTACTGATACCACAATATCCAGCGCATCAGCTTGGCAAGTGAAGGTAATTGACATTGCATGGGAGGACATTATGAAAGTTATGAGTTGATGGAGCTTATTTGCCTGTGTAGTTGATTAAAGATGAAGTGATTTGAATTTCTCAGACTCGGTGGTAGAATGACCTACTTATAGTATTCTCACTCCCTGCAAAATCTACATCCTAGGTGGACATATTGATTCAAGACGTCATATGAGTACAACAATTGTTGATCAATTTTCATCTCAGTATCTAATTGAATAAAAAGCGCCACTACAAAGTCTGGACACCCCTTCTGCATGCGCCTATTTGTGAGGCCTCATAAATTAACCACTTGATCTTCATTCTTGAGAATATGTGTATATTGTCCAATTCTATGAGTGAGGGCTTTTGATACTGGATGGGGCGTCTTTCTTCAGTTGTGTAACACTGTGATATCATAAAAGGTTGCCTCGAAAGGCAATCTTTTCTAATACCTGCAAGGTGAAGATATTCAACTCTGGATATATACTCCGAGCTATTCAGATAGAGATGGAAATGATTCTATGTTATCTGCACATGTTCAAAAGCCCCTGTGATAGGTATAATGCTGGTAAGGTACTATATATAGAAAGGATCTTTATATAACAATTACTTATTTATCAAATGATCTCTAAGGTGATTCCTAAGGCCCACGTTTTGGTATCCCTATATTCCAGGACTACTGGCAGCTAGTCTGGCTAGATAGGTGTATTTGAAGGGGCTCTGTCTATAACACAGGACAGACCACCAAGATTAATAGCACAGGGTTATACAGCAGGCTATAGGGTAGGACAGGAAGGAATAGATTAATAAACCTGTCTAGCGTGAACTCTATGATCATACTATGATGAAATAAACTTTGTAGTGATGTCTACAGAAGCTGCAGCGGCTCGACCACCGCTACCAAAGGGGAAAAAAGGCTTATCATTCTATTTATTTCATACAAAAGTAAGCGAAATGCAAGATATCTGCGTGGTGGGTTACCAGTACCCTAAGTGGCCTAGAAAGGAGACCATAGCATTATGATTTTTCTCATTAAAAGGGGAAATAAATGTGGGTGTTTTATCTCTTTACTATAAGCTAAGCTGCTCACATTCTGGTGGATAAAGCAATCATCCAGCTAGGAAGGGCATAATACTCATAACCTATTGGGGCCGCCCCCGCAAAAGGCCATTGGTAGGCCAAAAATGAACCCGCCAGAGATATTCCATTAGGGCTGAGCTACCCCAACTTCAAGCAGTTTATGGATCAAAAGATTTCAGACTGCCACTACTCATATGTTATCATTGATTTTTTTTTTAAATAACTCAGTCACGAGTGTTGATTATACAATCTCAAATTCAATGGTCCCCCATCCTTCATAAGTACATGACCAATGGCCCGGCTTGTCCATTAGAACCGCCTCCAAGCAGCTCCCCGGCATGATAAGCTGGCCCGGCTGAAACTCGATATCATACGCCGATAGGCGGTTCACCAGCCAAGCAACAGCAGCCAACGGGTTGCCCAGGATATTCTTTGTGTTGCCCGCCATGACCTCCTGGCCATTGAATTTCAGGAAGCCACGCATGTTGCTCAGGTTGAGATCAGTGATGTGGCGAGGCGTCCCGCCGAGGATGACTGCGCCTGTGGAGCCATTGTCGGCCAGGGTGTCGGGCAGGTCAATGGCCCAGTCCTTGACGCGCGAGTCGATGATCTCAATGGCCGGAATGGCATAGTCGATGGCGCTGATGACGTCGGCCACGGTGACGTTGGGACCCTTGAGCGCTTTCTTGAGGACAAACGCCGGCTCCAGCTCCACGTAGGGCTTGATGAACTTGTCTAGAGCAATCGAGGTGCCTTCGTAGAGGAAGAGGCTGGAGTGCAGGAATCCATAGTCCGGGTGGTCGATGCCAAACGCCGTTTGCATCACCTTGGCGATGTTGCCCAGTTTGTACCCGACTAACCGGTCGCCGGTACTGATAGCATGGTTGGAATTGATTTGTTGGATCTTGAAGCCGTCTTCGGGATCTAGGCTAGGCCATGTCTTGGTCGGGGTATCGATGGGCTTTTTCTCTGCCCGGGCAGTGCGCAGTGCAACTGCCACCTCGTTCAAGTCGACTGAAGGCATTTTAAAGATTGAAGGTCTGTATGAGAAGTTGTCAAGGAAATTGTTGTATCAAGGTCTCCATTTTTATACTTTATATCTTTCTCATGTTTAATATCACGCCGGATCAGAAGCCGAACCGATCCGAACCGAAGATAAGAAGCTATAGATAACCCCAGATATCCCGATATGCCGAAGTGGGAGAGATCGGAAGCCACCCGAGCAGAGCGGGGTTATACACAACTGATCAGATCACATTATCATTTTCATAGATCATTCGGACGATAGCAGATCTAATGGATGGAAGGGCTATATAATCTATATAATTTATCTTGCTGTCTTGATAGCAAAGTCATTGCTCTGCTTGCGAGTAATACTATATCATGGCCCCCATTGCTACCTCGTCCTTTATTGATATCGAACCCCCCGTGGTGATTGGTCCAGTCACCAAGAAAGCTACACGACCCTCCAATGCCCTGCCACAGTCTTTGATCGACGGGGCCAAGGTGGCCGAGCGGCAGGCATTTGATCCCGCCAGACACTTGACCTTCCAGCCTCCCAAGTCCATCCTTACGATGGAACAGATCGGCCTCAAGGGACACGGTATCTCCCCCCATGCCGCTACGGACCCGTTCCCTCTGTTTTCGCAGGAGGCCATTGAACAGATGCGGGCGGAGATTTTCGATGAACGGGTGCTCGCCGACTGTCAGTATTCGTCGTCGTTTAACAAGAATATGATCCGAGGCATGGGTTCGGCGTACGTACTTGAAATACTTTGACTCTCTTATCATTGTTCTTACTCTTGGGTGATAGACGTGCTCCTTTCACCTACGCAGCATGGAAATCCCCCGAGACTCTGGCCCGTATTTCCGAGGTGGCCGGAATCGACCTGGTCCCCTCGATCGACTATGAAATTGCCAATATCAACATCTCCATCCGAGATGAGAACGCCAGCATGGATCTCCTGCTGCACCAGAATCAAGCAAACGACGATGAGTTGCCGGCCGTTGCGTGGCATTACGATAGTTTCCCGTTTGTCTGTGTGACAATGCTGTCGGACTGCACCGGCATGGTGGGTGGAGAAACGGCCTTGCGAATGCCCAGTGGAGAGATCATCAAGGTCCGGGGGCCTGCCATGGTGAGTTCAGTTGACCTGCTATATCTGTTCCTTTTTTTTTTTTTTTTTTTTCTGATCCTTTCTAGGGAACCGCCGTGGTGATGCAGGGCCGGTATATCGAACACCAAGCCCTCAAGGCGCTTGGAGGACGGGAACGGATCAGTATGGTGACTTGTTTCCGGCCCAAGTCACCTTTAGTCAAGGATGAAACGGTGTTGGTGGGAGTGCGTGGCATCAGTAACATTTCCGAACTGTACACGCAGTACACCGAGTATCGACTGGAGATTCTGGAAGAGCGGATCCGCCACCAGTTGAAGCAGGAGAGGGAGCGGGAGATCGCTAAGAGGCCGTTTGATGTTGGGACCATCCGACACTTTCTGAACAACCAGAAATTGTTTATTGAGTCCATGTTGACGGAAATTCAAGAACTCGAGTAACATATTATGATTATGATGAAATGTTGTAATGGAAACTTTCTTACCGATCAAGTGTCCTAATCACTGATAGAGTAGCATTCCTGGAGATCTCTATCTATAACGGCTCTCATCCGAGACTCATCCGAGGCCCACAGATCGCCTCTGACGGTGCGGGGAATTTGTGCCTGAAGAACTGACATTGATGTCATTGGTGCATTCTTATCAATGATTTAATTGCATATAAACACATATAAACTCATACAAAGTAGATGGAGTCTGTCTGTCTTCAGTATCTCCCCTACCAAACATCCTCTTCCATACTTATCAAAATGACCGAGGACAAAAAACCTCAAGTGCCATCCCAGCTGGAGGGGGAGACCCATGACGATGTGTTTGGTGAAATCAGAGAAGACGGACCCAACTTCCGCAACGTCGGCTTCTGGGGAACCGTCATCCTCATGATGAAGACGCAGATCGGGCTCGGGGTGCTCGCAATTCCATCCGCTTTGGATGTGCTGGGGATGGTGCCCGGGATCATCTGCATGATCGTCATTGGCGCCATTACGACCTGGTCGGGCTATATCGTGGGTGAGTTCAAAATGAAGCATCGCGAAACGTACAGTATCGACGATGCCGGGTCCATCATGTTTGGCGTGGCTGGGCGCCTCTTCCTGTCTGCCGCGTTCTGTCTCTATTATATCTTCAACAGTGGCTCGGCCATTCTGAGTCTCTCCATCGGCTTGAACGCCGTCTCCTCCCATGCCACCTGCACCGCCGTCTTTGTTTCCGTCGCCGCCATCGTCGGATTTGCCCTCAGCAGTATCCGGACCTTGGGGCGCATTACATGGCTTGCTTGCCTGGGTTGGTTTGCCGTGTATTCTTTCCGCTGGTATTCAAACCTCCCCTCTGCGTTGAACTCATTCCTTGATACTGATCCGGTAGTCATCATGGTCACAATCGCCGTCGGCCTGGAGGATCGACCGGCGGCTGCACCAGCTTCCGACAGCCCTTGGGTCTCCGACTGGAAAGTGGTCGGAGATTCTGGCTTTGCAGAGACGATTGCAGCCGTTTCCAATCTCTTGTTTGCGTTTTCCGGAACCCCTGGTAAGCTGCTGTCTAGGGTTAGGGTTAGGGTTAGGCGTCAGTACTGACAAGCAGGCTTCTTTTCGATTGTGTCCGAGATGCGCAACCCCAGACAGTATGGCGCCGCCGTGATCACTTGTCAAGCCGGCGTCACACTCGTGTACACAATTGTCGGCTGTGTGATGTACTATTACTGCGGATCCTATGTCTCCTCGCCGGCTCTGGGCTCGGCCGGTGGTGTCATTGAGATCGTCAGCTATGGCTTCGCGTTGCCTGGGCTTTTTGTCACCATGACGATCGTTACTCATGTAATATCTATTGCAGTTTTTCAATTCGATTGAGGCTGATTGATTGCTAGATCCCTGCAAAGTTCATCTTCATCCATCTCCTTCGAGGCTCTCGCCATCTCACCAGCAACACTCCAACTCATTGGATAACCTGGTTCAGCTGTACGTTTGGCATCACCGTCGTTGCCTGGATCATTGCCAGCACCATCCCCGTCTTTGATGATCTGGTGTCTCTTATTGGCGCCCTGCTGGGCCCCGTCATGTGTATGCAACCCATGGGGGCGATGTGGCTATATGATAATTGGGGCAACGCCGACAGACGAACGGCATCTCAACCTCGATGGTTCCTCATGGTGGCCTGGTGCAGTCTCATCATTGTCCTTGGATTCTTCCTCATGGTTGCCGGCACTTATGGCTCGGTCATGAGCATTGTCCAGTCGTACAGCAGCAGTGGAGGGTCTGCTGCTTTTTCCTGTGCAAATAACTCCAGCTAGGAATTTAGGGTTAGGGTTTGTGGTTTATATGTAACAGGCATGGCTTTATCTAGACGTCCAGACCAGTATCAAACAAGTGACTAGTATATTTCATTCCAAATAGATGATTACTCTTTTTCAAACCTAGAATATATCTAGATGTAAATCTATCTATTCATTGGGGTATAAGTCTGAGACGGATAGCTAGCCACAGTACTATATCATAAGTATGGAATGAGACATAAGTATACTCTTTCTACATCGAGTCTAAAACACTATGGTCTGTCCCACCGATCTGCTCTATGATTGATAGAAACTCGTACGATGAGATCCCAATCTCATCCAAGATCTCCACGCCATTTGGTAGTTGCGCTGTAGAGGGTGAGCCCTGCGCTTTGCTATAATGATCCAGGGTCTGTCCTGAGGACTGATGGTGAGGGTGCATATCTGGTCCGTTTTCATCATGGTCCGTCTGCTCGGGCGTGGTGAGGAATAATTCCTGCAGGCCATAATGTTTGATCTGGATGCTCAGTTCATGGAATAGGCCTTGCAGATGAGCCAGCTCTGTCTTGCGAGCAATGGCTAGTCTGTTCCCCTTGGAGATCATCTCGTCTAGAATGATATGAGCCTTTTCTATATATTCTGCGCCTTCGGTAGCACGGGAGAACAAAGTATTGGCCATGACCAGATGCAGGGCCGCTCCGTATGTGACCTCCATTTCAAATGGAAGGAAGATTTCTACCAATCAGCTTACTCTATAGGTTGGGGGTTGAGGCTATTGAAGACTCACCCAACAGGCTATCCTCGTCGCTCAGAATCTGCAAGGTCTTGACGGCGGATTTGATCCCCGTCGAGATCAAGGCTTTGGTAGGGGCCAGGAAACTCTGCCAGTCGTCTTCTTGCTGGCCCAGTCTCTCGAGCCGTTCCTTCAAGATAGAAAGCAAAAGAGGCCGTGTCGCCACTATTACGCACTGGTGATATAACAAGGTGATATACCTGGTTCCCTTGGGCATGCTCTCCACCGAGGCCGATCCTCTCCTTGGAAAGACGATTTCTTCGATTTCCCGGGCATACACCGTCATGGCCTGCAGAATGGTGCGTGTCTTGTCGAGGAATGCGCCCAGTTCCGTTCTCCTGTTTTTGTAAATAGAACATAATATGGATGTGAATAGATACGACAGTTTGACGTGCAGCCTGAAAGTCGCATCCCTTCGTGAGGATCTTCCTCCAGCTGGAGCCGGATTCAAAACGGTTGTAATGTCACTATCTTGAATTGTCATGGGGAGACCGAGCGAGGACGATATATGCCGATCCATCACGTAGAGCGTCCACCAGAGATTCTGGCAGCGATTCACCGTCTTGACTCCCAACTCATCCTCAGGGAGTTCTGTATGTAACCCATCCAGTTGTGCGATTCGTATAGCTTGGACAACCTGCCGATAAACATATGAGGATGAACACATGAGAGAGAGAGAGAGGGAGAGATGGTGAGACTTACATAAATGTTGGCCAACTCGCGATGATCAATAGAATAGAGATACAAGGCAGCCAAAGCCAGGACTTCGACAGCCAGTAAGCCCTTGGTCCACAGGTTTGTATAGTCAGGCAAGAGAGACATGGCGCGCACAAAGAACTTGGAGCCGGGGGGATCGCGAGTGTTGCGAGAGCGCCGGAGAAACGCGGTTCCAAAGGCCAGCACCAGCAGGAAATGAACAAACCAAAGACGGTCCTGGGTGGCCTTGTGGAGGGAATGGCCGGTATAAAACTCGTGAAGATGCATGGTGAAAGCATCCTCGTCGAAGAATCGATAGTGTTGATCGAGATGGTGTTTCACCGTGTTGAACAGGTACAGCGCGTCCTCTAGAGATGGCAAACTACTGATATCCGGTGGCTCTTCCCCAGAGGCTGCTGCTGCGGCTGGTCTCCAGGTGAGAGGGTAGACTTCCTTATCCAACGAGCTGGGGACTCGGGATGGGGACTCAAGATGGAGATGTTCGGCCATCATGAGGGAAAGACGAGTTGTCATGGACCAGAGGGATGTAGGAGCCAGCCAGACTGATTGTCAGTACCATGTATTGACGATGATATGATGATAATGACCTACTCCAGCCTGTCTTCCCCTTGTAGAGACCATTGACTGTCCGAGATGGCGAAGGAAATGGATTCGCCCAGACACTCCGCTCGAGATGATGAGGATGAGGATAGACAGGCAGATGATCATCGTGACTGCCGGTGCTTGCTACTCGTCTTAGCTCAACCTGACCAACAAGATATCCACTTACCAGAGTATGCCTCGGATTTGTCAATGTCCACCATCGGCCCAAAGGCCACATCAGCGCTTCGTTTTCCTGTAGTGGAAGGCGTTTGCGACTTGGGGGTGATGTCTGACTGCTGCTGCTGCTGCTGCTGCTGCTGCTTGGCCTGGTCGAGTAATCTCTGGAGGATTCTAGAACCAAAGACATTTGTTATTCCAGGACCCTGACTGATTCTGGCAGACGAACCCTACCACAGACCTTTCGTCGACCAGGACCTTGTTGGCATCGGGGAAATGGCATTTGATCCCTCGTCGCTGGCAGTTGGCACAAGGATCCGTGCCCGAACATTTGATCTTGCTCTGTCGGCAAGCAGAGCATCTGATGAACAGTCAGAATGATTTAATCTAGAGTGAAACACTGACACTTACGCGTTGGAAGTGCGTTTCGGCTTCTGGGTCTCGCTTGGTTCCATTATTACTATTACCAAAGGGAATCGGAAACGGCTCTCTGTCAACAGACCGGCCGCTGTCAATCTTATCTTGTTATTATCTGTGGGGTATGGTCCAGTTTGTGGAGTAACTTCACTGTAGGCATAAGTCACTATAACGAGTCATCTTTGCTGTCAATGCGTGAGATAAAGAATCCACTCCATGTTGATTCGACACAATCTGAAGTCTCGGGAAGAACCCGAGGCTTACGCCTTGTCCTTGTAGCCGAGGCAACTTGGTTATCTAGCAAGATGATAAGGAATCGTTGAATAATAGAAACAGGGCTTAACAAAGTACGATCTTTCAATATCATGGTCAGCCTGGTGAGTGTAGTGTATATAATATATATAGTATCTATAGGTATATATATATATAGCATAATAATAGATAAACTAGATCTAATACACCGTGTTGACCCCCCCCGTCACAATCATCTTGATATTCACATAATCATCAATCCCATACTTGCTCCCCTCACGGCCCATACCTGAATGCTTGACGCCTCCGAATCTAAACTGTTATTAAACGAATCTGATAGCGATGTCAAGAAGTACTCACGGTGCAGCCGAGTCGGAAATGACTCCAGTATTGATGGCAACCATGCCAAACTCCAACCGTTCCGAGACGCGATGAGCCTTGCCCAGATCGCTCGTCATCAGGTACGAAGCCAGGCCGACCTCGCAGTTGTTGGCCCGCGCAACCACCTCGTCCTCGGTGGAGAATCGGGCCAGGCCTGCGACGGGCCCAAAGGTCTCCTCGGTGGCGATCTTCATCGAGTCGTCGACGTTGCCCAGGATGGTGAGCTCGTGGAAGTTCTTGCCAACGGCCGGCAGGGCATTGCCTCCCAGCAGGACGGTGGCCTTTTTGCTCACGGCATCCTGGATATGATCCTGCGTCTTGGCCACTCCGTTGGTCAACGGACCGTGAGTGACGGCCGGGTTGTGGGCGCCGTCGCCCACCAGGGCCGTCTTCTTCTTCATCACCTCGACGAACCGCTGGCTGAACCGGTCGTAGATGCCCTCCTGCACGTAGAATCGGTTCGCGCACACACACGTCTGGCCCGTCACCTTGAACTTGCTGACCACGGCGCTGGTCACGGCCGTCTCGAGATCGGCGTCGTCGAAGACGATGAACGGCGCGTTGCCGCCCAGCTCGAGACTGAGCTTCTTCAAGGTACTGCTCGACTGGCTCATCAGCAGCTTCCCGACGCGCGTCGAGCCCGTAAAGGAGATCTTCTTGACGGTCTCCGACTCGCACAGCGCCAGACCGAGCGTCGGCGTGTTCTCCAGCGCAGTCACCACGTTGATGACCCCCTTGGGCACGCCCGCCCGCTCCGCCAGGAGGGCCATCACGTTGGTGGAAAAGGGCGTCAGGCCGTCCGATTTGATGACCACCGTACAGCCGGCGGCCAGGGCGGCGGCCACCTTGCGGGCGCCCATCGCCATGGGGAAGTTCCACGGCGTGATCAGGCCGCAGACGCCGACGGGCTCCTTGACCACCTGCGTGCGACACGCCGGGTTGCTGTGCGGGATGAGGTCGCCGTAGATGCGCGGCGCCTCTTCGGAGAACCATTCGAAGAAGCCCGCCGAGAAGAGCGCCTCTCCCTCGGCGTCCCCCTTGGCCTTGCCGTTCTCCGCCGTGATGATGCGCCCGATATCCTCCTTGTTGTCCACCAGCAGCTCGAAGAGTCGCCGCAAGATCCGGCCGCGCTGTCGTCCCGACTGGGCGCGCCAGCTGGGAAACGCCCTGGCGGCGGCTTGGATCGCCGCCTCCATGTCTTCCGGGCTGGATTCAGGGCATGTTCCCACCAGGGCGTCCGAGGCTGGGTTGTACACGTTGAACGTCTGCTTGGATACGGATGAGACCCATTGTCCGTCGATATAGGCCTTTTCGATGAACAGACTCGGGTCTTGTAAGCTGGCAGCGAGAGTAGCCATTTCGAGAGATTGAAGTTGAAGATTGAAGTTGGCTTGAAGAAGGAAATGGATTCGGAACAGTTCCTAGAATTTAAAATAATAACACTCTGCCTCAACTGATCCGAGAGCTATCGGCTTCTCGCCCGATCTACCCGAGGAGGGGCAACTGTTATCAGACGATTTGTGATTATCATGGGAATCTATTATTCATCTATTTGGATATTATTCCTCGGCTGGATTAGAGTATTCGCATCTCATCAGGTCTTTTCTACCAGGCTAGCTCTCTATTGATCAAGGTATGAATATATGGTATCATTGAACCGAGGAATGATCCGGGACCCGCTCGAGCCCGCCATCGGGTCCTTCCGAGGGCTCAAATCTCGAGAATATCCATTATAAAAGGGCTCTGTCTTATTGAGCGAAAGAACCTGTAATTACTACACTTACTTGTCAAAAGTCTGGGTACACTTAAAGATCCTGAGAGAACATGACCCTAAATGATCATATATGGCCCTAAAAGCTTAGAAATAGTATAAATTATATAGATTCTTTATGATATTAACTCAATAAATGCATTGATACTGTCAGATATTTTACCCTATACCTCTTGATTTTAAAGAAATTTGATTTTAGTTTCTTCCTTTGTAAAGCCTATAAAGATAAATTATATTCAACTAGCAACTTAAAGGTCTCTTAAAACCAGATTATTAATAACTATGTAAGCCCTAAAGTAAACTTTATATTAGATCATACTAATTATTATCCTAAAGGACTACATAACTATAGTGAAATAGATGGTGAGAAGAGGTATTGATTTCTTAATGCATCACGCACAATGAAACTTTGAACCAGGTTATAGTGAATTGCATGTAATGCTTATATGTACTTCAAGACGCAAGGAAAACAACATGCCAAATCCCCTACCAGGAAATCAAGAGCTGCTGGGGGCACTTGAACGGAAGAATCTCCGTAAGCCCAGCATCTTGACCATCTCCCGCCAGAAGCCCGTGGGCTGTTCCTCCTCGGTCTCCTCGTATGCGGCGATAAAGTCGGCCTCCCAGACCAAATCCACCTCGGTCGGGCGCAGCCATCTGGTTTTCTTGGAGATCTTCCAGAAGAAGAAGGTAATCACAGCCAGCAGCACCATGGTGTAGTCGAGGAAGAAGTCGGCAGTGCTCCAGGGCTTGAAGCTTTGGTAGCCAAAGCCGCCCGCCATGGCGACCATCCAGACGAGCGAGATATAGCCACTGTATGGCTGGAAGCGACCCGTGTATGGCAGTGCAGAACGATCAAAGCTCTGCGCCTGGCAGGCATGATAGAAGCAGATGTAGGTTGTGGTGATGACAATATAGTCGATCATGATGTTGGCAGTCGTCAGGTCGATGAGCCAGTCGAGCACCTTCATTGAACCGTTCGACAACTGCAGCAAGGACAGACAGGAAAAGGCCATGACGACGATGTAGCTGTAGATAGGCACACCCTTTTGCGTCGTCTTTGCAAAGATCCGGGGTGCCTGCTTGGCCACTGCCAGGCCGTGCAGGGCTCGAGTGGCAGCGTAGGAATAGGTGTTACCCGCCGAAAAGACAGAAGTCACCATGAGGGCCGTGACAATGTCTGGGAGGACCGTGACGCCCAAGTTCTCCATCGCAATCACATAGGGTGAGGCGGCAGAAGACGATGTGCCGCTGGTGATGGCGCTGACCAGGAGAGGATCGTTGTAGGCGATGAGAACGCCGACACACAGACTGCCGCCGATGAAGAAAATGGCAAAGCGCCAATAGACCGTCTTGAAGGCGTTCTTGATGTAGATCCGGGGATGCTTGGCCTCGGCAGAGACCATGGAGATATACTCGGGCCCGACAATGATGAACAGACTGATCCATAGAGCGCCCAGAAAGCCTTCAAATCGACCCAATTGCCCGTCAGTGGCATATTCCGCAAAGGCCCCCGGATGTTGCCAGTGGCGGAAGCCATAAGCATCCCCTTGTGGATTGCCGCCGACCATGGTGATGAAGGTGAAGCAGAAGAGGATGATGATCAGGACAACCTTGCCTCCACTCAGCCAGAATTCAGCTTCTCCGTAGGTCCCGACGGCAAGGAGGTTGAACGCTCTAACCACCAGTCAGTCTTTCCCTTCTCCCTTGTTCTCTATAGAGTAAACCAAGAAAAAAAAAAGGACCTACGCGTAGATGGCAATACAAACCAAGCAGACGGCAACGACGGGAACGTCACTTCGCCAATACTCAATCAGCAAACTGAGGGCGCAGATCTCAAATGGCACCGTCAGAGCCATATAGATGAAGAAGTTCCAGCCGGCCATGAAGCCCCAGGCTTCATCCACCCACTTGCCTGCCAGTCTGATAAAGCCACCACTGACCGGCATATATGTAGTCATCTCGGCGAGGCAATTGTTCAGCAAGCCGACCATGATGGAATGGATGATGAAGGCCACGAGGAGACTGCCCGGCCCCCCTTTGTACAGCCCCGAGCCGATGGAAATGAAGAGGCCAGTGCCAATCGAGCCTCCAATGGCCACCAGCTGGATCTGGCGGTTCCCCAGCCGACGATGTAGACTCTGGTCGATCCTGCCCGAGGCCTGCCCTTCATCCACATCCTCAGCAAGGGCATATTGATCGATTTTCTTCTCCTCCATGTTGGGTATCACCGGATGGGAGTTCAACAGAAGAATTATTCGGAAGTTGAAGCATCAGTCCAAGGTGGAGACCAAATCCTTATATAGCATTTCCCCCGTGTCTCACCACTCATAGCTGGGGTGATATAGATTATGCCACTCTGTCCATCAATCCATATATTGAGGGTTAGCGTGCGGGATTTAGAGTTTTACCATGACCTGATAGATATAGATCAGCGTCCATTGATTGACTGATTGGATCTAATTGAGTAGACTCGGGAGGGCTCGGGAGACTATCAGTCCCGCGTTGATCGGGAAGGGTATCCGACTTGTTAACCCTGCTTGATGACGCCAAAGAAAGGGGGACCGGGATGTGGTCCCGAGATAGCACAGACCTCTTGGTTGACAATGATAATGAAATTCTACTTGCACAATGATGTCAAGATGTATCTATGCTTCAGTTATACCCAAATGTGATGATTATGTGTATAGGTTGTAGTATAGTAAGTTATATAGCACTGAATAATTGACTGACCACTTGCCGCAATCCAATCATGTCGGTCACCACGCTGTTCATCAAGAAGCCTTTACTCGCCCATGCCTTTGCATCTTCGCCACTATCGCAATAAATGCCAGCGGCAATGCCCGCCGCCTGTGCCGCCTCTTGCACCGACTGGATGGCGCCCACCAGCGTCTCGTCCATCTGGCCTCTGACGATGGGGTGTCCGATACTGACGCCCAGGTCAAAGGGCCCTACAAACAGGACATCGATCCCGGGAACCTTGGCGATTTCCTTGACATTGTCCAGAGCAGACTTGGTTTCAATCTGCACGGCGATGACCAGCGAGCTGTTGGCTTGTTCCAGGTATTCTTTGCCACTGAGCTCCCGCACCTCGCCACCATGAGGGTGCTGCTCGACAAACTTGTCCACGGCGAGCAGCGGCTCGAACCCCCGGGTGCCCAGTGGGGGGAACTTGGAGGCTCGGACAACGTTTTCTGCATCCTGCACCGTCTCCAGCATGGGGACAAGGATGCCGTGGGCGCCCGAATCTAGCGCCCGTTTGATCATACAGTGCTGCCCCTCGAGAACGCGGACAATGGGGGACACCCCGCAGGCGGCGGCGGCGGCGACAATCTCATGCATCGAGTCGTCGGAGATGTTCCCATGTTCCAGGTCAACCAGCAACCAATCCATGTTTCTTGCTGAACGGCACATTACGCGAGTGAGGTTCGTGCCGGGCAGCATCTGCCATCCTCCATAGGCCGGCCGGCCTGCCTTGAGGGCTTTTTGCAGTCGATTGGCTTCTTGCATTAGCACGTTTGAGATGATACTAATAAAACTTGTTGAACGAATCAAAGGATATGATATCGAGTAGATTGAAGAGGGCGCCCATATCTTTCAATGTCTTGAAATATGGTTTATTAATGTTCCCTGACGAGCCCCCCTGCCTGGCTATGTATGGTCTGCCCGATTTTGCCGGTCGGGATCGGAAGCCGAGATGTGACTTCTTTTCAAGATAACTAGGGGTTATAACTAGTTAGCTAAACATTGATAGCTCTTGTTAGATAGAGTCTAGCAATCATACAGGAAGTTTAGCTCAGAGGCAGATACGCGACGTTAAAGCCAACAATAGAATGGCATAATAGAAAACAAGAGAATACTCCAAGGGATATGTCTTCCACAGGCCCTACAGTCTACTAGGCTATAATAATGATAGTTCACCAAAACTTAAATCAAACACTAAATTGACCACTTAATTCAGAGGACCGATTCAGGTCAAATTAGATAATTATCATACTGAAAGAGGAAGTCAATAAGAATAAATATCAAGACGTCTATGATTCAAGTGGTATCTATCAGCTGTCAAACGCTACACCATCTCAAATTTCGACATGGCTTATGAGATGATCTCTAATAAGATAAACTCTTGTTAATGATTATATAGGAAAGTCATTGAATATATAAGCTAATTGATTGTTAAAAATAAAATTTAATCCATGTCCTCCACCTCAATCAGCTCAGCAATTGTGGCTTCCAGGAAGGCCTGCTGCTCCCTAAGGAAGGCAGTCATCTCACGGATATTGAAAGGACGCTTGGTGTCCACCCTCTTCTGCTCCTGCTTTTGCTTCAACCGCAGTCGTTCCTCAAGCACCTCCAGCCGGTACTCGGTGAACCCGTGGTACAGCTCCGACCAGTTGCTGATCGCCCGGGATCCCGTCAAGATCAGCTCATCGCGAATCGTGGGATCCCTGGGTCGGAAGGCAGTCACCATACTGATACGCTCGGGGCCTCCCATGGACTTGAGGGCTGCGTGTTCAATATACCGTCCTTGCATAACCACCGCAGTTCCCTATCTGTGAATTAGCATTGAAATGGAAGATGTAGAGCAGCACTGGGCTGGGTTTAGGATAGGGTTTACCATTGTAGGTCCACGGATCTTTCTGATCTCACCAGAGGGAGTCTTGATCGCAGTCTCTCCACCCACCATGTTACTGCAGTCCGAAAGCATCGTCACACACACAAAGGGGAAGCTGTCATAGTGCCATGCAAAGGCCGAAGAGTCATTGTTACCGTCGCCCTTTGCGATAGCAGAGGAATCATTGTCCACAGAAATATTGATATTGGCAATCTCATAGTCGAATGATACCACGAGATCAACGCCGGCCACCTGGGACACTCGACGGAGGAGCTCCGGTGAGCTCCAGGCATCACAGGTAAAGGGGGCGCGTCTATATATATCAGTTGGATGAAGAGTTCACTCATGCGTAATATCTTGAACCTACTCTCGTCCCATGCCTCGGACCATGTATTTTGCAAAGCTCGATGTATACTGGCAGTCCCGCAGGACGGGCTCGCTGAAGATCTCCGCTCGGATCTGCTTGATGGCTTCGGTGGTGAACAGCGGGAAGGGGTCCGAGGCTGCCACAGGCGAGATGCCATGACCTTCAAGGCCTATCTCCTTCATCGTGGTGATTCCTTTGGGGGGCTGGAATTCCAGGTGCCTCTCCGCATCGAACACTTGCTTTTCGGGCATGCGAGCACCGTCGATGAGCCACTGGGGCAGCGTTGTGCTGGGACGAGTCGCCTTCTTGGTGGTTGGGCCTACCACCGTGGGTGGGGCAGGACGCAGTTCGGCAATCGAAGGCATTTTTTCTGGGTTTGTAGAACTCTGAGTCTGTAGAGCTTGAAGTCTTAGCTGGATAGTCAACCTTGGTAGAGTGGGAAGCAAACTGGTTGAGGAAAATGATCCCTTCTTATGGGCTTCCTGATTCTTCTGCAATATAAGTAGAGAGATTGATAGCGTCGCCCGATTTTCCGTGGGTCCGGACAGTATCTCCATCTATCTGGTATAGATCGGGTGACCAAACCAGAATCCTAGTCGAGATTGGGATGACAGGCATCTCTGTAACCTCACCAAACCACTGGAGAAGATCTGATAAGCTCAAGGAAAGCTGGCCTGGAAGCAGACCCAAACGCTCCCGAAACTCCGATCTATCATCACTGCGATCGGTATCTCGGGTAGCTCGTCAGAGGAGGAAGAGGGGACCGATAGGGGGCCGACAGGCAATGCCCCTGTATGGGCTAGTAGACAGTGCACACACGACGTGATAGAGAAAAGGCAAACATAGTGGCAATGATCCGATCCAGATGGACTCCACCAACACAATTTCGAGTCCAAATTAAGGCAATCATACTAACTCCATTGGACACAAGTACCGTCCAGATTGCAACCCGAGAAACTGGCAGATACATCATTAATATGTCTTATTCAATAGGTTTTCTTGCCTTCATCTCGATCAGAAATTCTATATCATGTTGAAGCATGGAGTGGATGATAGTCTTCTCCAAGATTCTCACTTTCCCTTTCTCACAACAGCCTTAGTTTTGGGCTTATCACTTCAAGCTGGGAAGTCCTATAGTTACAGGATCTACCTTCTTTATATATGTTAGTGAAGCCCTAACGTCATTATCATTGGTGGCAAGCTTAAAGATTCAATACATCACTATTATGCTTCACATATTATTGAAATCGCCCTGGTTGACAGTATTGCCCTCTATGAGCCAGTCTGGCTGTAAATCCCATATTCCTTGAGTAAGGCCTTGGGACCCTATCTGATCCACGATAGAGAGAAACTCATTTGATGAAATTCCCACGGCCTCGAGGGAATCGGAGTTTTGTGCCAATGAGTCTTGCGTCAATATAAATGACTCAACATCCTCTACTGAAGCCGCGTGCCACTCCATGGCCGTAGAAGACAAGCTCCCCTCCCGCTCCTCCTCCTGCACTGTGTCCATCCTAGAGCTACCGGCAGTCTCTCGTTCTTTGGCATTGGATAACGTCAAACCTTGGATTCCCTGTTGCCTGATCCTGTTCGAGAGCTCTCCAAACAAGAACTGCATGTGAAGAAGTTCGGTTCGCCGGACCTCGGCAACTCGATTGCCACCCGAGACAAGCCGGTCAAGGACCTGATGAGCCGCCCTGGTGTGGTGATTGTCCATTGCATCAAATTGAAAGAGTGTATCGGCTATCGTCAAGTGGAGAGCGGCTGCGAAGGTGAATTCCAGATCAAAGGGAAGGAATGTCTCTAATGTTGAGGAGTTAGCTCAATCCTCGCTCTAAGCAAGCACAAATGAAAGAATGGGAAGAGGCCTGCATGGAAGGGATAGTACCAAGAATAATATTGTCGTCTGAGATGATTTCTAGCGACTTGATAGCTGATTTAATGCCAATAGAAACAATACTTCTTGGAAGAACCAAGAATTGGTGCCATTCCTCTTCTGGCCGGTCAATTTTCTCCATCCTTTCCTTCAAAACGGAGAGAAGAAGCGGCCGTGTTGCAAGAATAACACACTTTTGTTATCATTGTTAGTAATACACACACATTGAGCATTTAAGTAAGTAGGCCACACACACCTTATGATACAGTAAGATAATGAACCGCATATCATGGGGCATCGTGTCCATGGAAGATTGAAACCCAGAGGGAAATATGTCTTCAATTTCTTCAGCAAGCCCGGCCATTGCCTGGAGTATCTCTCTGGTCAGATCCATAAAATGACCCAGTGGTGTTTTCTCGGTCCTAAATATTTCTGGCAAAGGACGTTAGAGAAGACCTTCAAGATTGGCCAATGAATACATGGATTAAACACACTACTCAAGATAGACGACATCATCTGTGATAGTCTCACTTGTAGACTAAAAGTAGCATTTTGTGAGCCATCACCCGGTACATCGACCAAGGCGGAGATATCAAAGTCCTGGACGGTCATAGGAAGCCCAAGCGCAGAGGAGATCTGGCGATCTATAATGTACAGTGACCACCAGATGTTTCGGCATCTAGTGACTGTTTCATGGCCCAACTCATCCTCTGGAAGCTGAGTATGAAGCCCCTCCAGCTGTGCTATTCGTATGGCCTGACCAATCTATTCCAGGGTATCTCAGTCAGCATATGGTCTCTCCATGATGTGAGATGGCATGCTGGCCCTCTTACATAGGAGTGCGCTCCCTCCCTGTGATCGATTGAATATAGGTACAGAGATATGAGAGCCAGATTTTCGATCACAGCGAGGCTATCTCTGCAGGTGAATGTATGGTTTGGCATAAGAGACATGGCACACAGGAATAGCTTCGATCCAGGCGGGCCACCCTCTGTTTTTGTCCGTGAAGAAAACACCTTTCCAAACGCGAGAACAAGTAGTAGCTGGATGAGCCACATGCGAGAGTGGGCCGATTCACCAGCTGCTCGGCGCTCATAAAAGTGTTGTATCTGGGCAGCAAAATCGGCATTCAAAAGGCGATAGATTTGATTTAGATAGAATTTGACAGTGTTGAAAGCATGAATGGCCTGGTCGACTGAGGGTAAAGGTATAGTATCCAAGCAGTCCCGGGTGTTTCGCAAGTTACTCCAGTCGAGAGGATATATGTCTCCATCCAAATGGAGATTTAAAGTCTCAGGCGAGGCTAGATTGAGTTTTTCACTCATCATGACAGCAAGTCTTGCAACAAATGACCAAGGAGAGGTTGGCGCCAGCCAGACTATACCTTTAAATTAGAATAAAGGTGAAAGAGAAAGCATTGTGGGAGAACTCACGCCAATTGCGTTTTTTGGAAGCGGCATCTTTGATCACGGTCGTAGGCAGCGCAAAGGGACTGGTCCATATACTAAGCATGGACTCGCTTTCCTGAGATGGGCCTCTCGGTGCAATTCCAACCGGCTCAGATAGAGTGCTCTTGTCGGATGGAGGTGGAGTGTGCTGATTTTGTTCTTCAGGGTCAGAGGAGCCTCTCAAGCGTCCTGTTCCCCCTGTTGCCCTTCCTCTAGCTTGATTCTGGAGGTCACGTAAGTATCTGGTAATTTCAGATTTTAGCATATTACACCCGTCGCATATATACATCTATCAAAGGGCTTACCTTTCAGAAATTAAGACCTTTGTGTTGGAATCTGAGAAATAACAATCTGTCTTGCGGCGATGGCAGTTCTGACAGGGCCTTTCTCCGGTACACCTAATTTTACTTTGCCGACAGGCAACACAACTAACCAGATAATCAGTAGAGATTCACTATAGATATTTATCAACTGGTTTTGGACACACTCACGCTTTTGCTGCTCGTTTTGATCTGCGATTTTCCATCTGTATCTATTTCATTTGTTGTGTTTGGGTAAAAATAAAAACGGAGGACCAATCAAGGCATGCAAGTTTAAATTAATGATAAATCACAGGCAAAAAGAAATGAATTTATTCATTTTGAGGGATCTCCATGCCCTATCGTTCACTGCTTTTTTCGCCTGCCAGGGAGATATATATCATAGACTTTGGTGGTTGGAATCGGGGACCATGGACCGTTGCTTATGTGGGACAATGTACTATTTTACTGCGCTGAGAAACATGTTGAACAAGCCACTGTGTGGGGTACATAGCATATGATAAGTCCTAGTTAGTACTTGACTGGTTAGGTGGAGGAATCACTGGTTGGCAAGCTACATCATATTGAATAATTAATATTCAGTAGAAATCAATGCGCCTCTTTAGATTTCTATAACTATATATAAGATCAATATTATTATAGCAACTAAACTTTATGGAACTTTGAAAAGGCTTAATTTGCTATTTATGAGTCAGTAAGCCTTGTTTATCTACATTTCTTGGCCTCTTTTCGATATTCTTGTTTTGTGGGTTTAACCAATATAAATATATCTTCTATATAGAATGTGTTTAACCGGTTGAAATAAGCAATTGAATAGATGATTATCATTATATAAAAGTCAATAGGAGTAGCAGGAATTCCCGGGAGCAGTGGCAGAGATATCAATAAAAACTATAAATAAAATCATTTCTATCATTATGAGAAATACATTAGCGTGAATGAAGAGATAAGATCTCCGGCTAAGCGCGGAAGTCAGCGGAACCTTCCGCCGCCTCCTATAAGCCCAACTCACAACAATTTATGACAGATAGTCCAAAGGGCCATGATAAATAGGCATACAATTTATGATGAGAACAAACTATAGAGTAGTGATGTAAATAAGGAATAATATTGTTATTCAGATAATTGCATGTAAGAGTTGCACCGTAATTACCTAATTACCTAATTAACAGCAGGGGAGACAAGAATTTTTGACAAGGGCTGACCACTTACTCAGCTGATAAGGCCTCCGCACAGTCAGTGCTTATCATCTGACTTGGCAAGCGGGGGTAAAAAACCCGACAATCCTGATGACCATTCAGTCCCGGGCAAATTAACTATTCCGGGTTAATAAATCCCCTCTTTAAATGGTGACTTGGACCTAAGAAAGAGGGGGACGCCACAATAAGTCACCGGTTATCTACACATAGTACCTAGTAGGTCAGGCTTGGCCCCCTTGGTGTTAACCCATGATGTATGATGTAATTTATACCTTATCGCAAGAGATGACAATACTGTACAAGGGGCTTAATTGCTAGTCAAAGTTGGGTGGGCGATCAATCTGACTAATCTAAACAGGATAGACAGTAACAGTTTCAAAACAGCCAGGAGGTGCATTGAGGCGAGCCCCACCATGACGCCTGGGCTGTGTCCAGGTTACGCTGATCTATCTGCTGCTGCCCTTGACAACCAATATAGCAATCGCTTCCCTGCCCTGGCAAACGCACGTCAACCACAAGACGACTGAGAGTAAGGCGAGGGTGGCTTATAGCGGCGGGTGCACATTTGTCTCTTGTTTTCTACCCTCCCGATCCTGATAATTACCATTTCTATCCCCCCCTCTAGACCAATGAGATTCTAGTCTGATATAAGACCTTGACCAGCGGCCAGACTATCATGCACCATACCAGCTTATTCAGGCTATTCCCATTTGTTAATAACTGGACTCTATATGTAGTAGCATACCGGGACGACACATGTCAATACCACCACCAAGAAGGGCGGCCAAAGGGCCCAGTGTATCGAGCTGCCATGTGAGGGGGTTGTTACGTCTCTACCCTCTCTATAGAAGATATTCATACCGACAGACTAAGCACCCTAGCTGGCCGCTGTATCCCCCTGGATGGAGCAAACATACCGGCGGCGACGGCGGTAGAGGCGGCATGGCGATGGCGATGGGATATCAACAGACTCATCGTCCTTGACGACATCCAGCGGCAGCCTAACCCTCGTCAACGGCCCCGTCATAAAGGTCATCTAGAATGTCCTGGTGAGCACCACTGACGCCTTCACAGCGCTCGAGTCCAGCGTTATGGACGCCCTGTATGGCGCCAAGCTGTTGTACTAGAAAACTACTATTACGGATACAGGCGCAGCTAATGTCATAATAGAGAAGCACATCTATACTATCGCTAATGCCGCAGGTGTATTCCTCGCCTGTTAGATAGAGGTTATTCTCTATTCTATAAAGTCTTTGTGGAGTCTACTCTCTATGGGGGAGCTTATAGTTCCGTTTACATATTGACTTTGACTTTGACTTTGAATATGTCAACTATGTCGACTAAGGCAATAATGATGGCGCTTCCTGCTTTATGCTTGGGGGCTGGTTGCGCTGCCCGCCACCTAACTGGCTGTGAAAGTAATGTGGGTGTAGATGCCGAGCTAATATAATGCCAGAGTAGCTGTGATGAGGACACTATGAGGGAATGTGAAATGCATTCTGGCATGAATTTAGCTTTATAGTGAAGATCAGTGGTTTATATTAGCTTAAATCTAAACTCTACTCATAAAAATATACTGTAATGTGGCCTTAGTTAAAATATCTTAATAGTAATATTTAAACCTTAAGCATAGAACAGTATATGAATAAGATATACAGTAGGGTTGAGTGTCTTAGTGTATCTTGGCTACTCTCTTCTTGACTATAATTTAGCTATATCTTGTTGGTATGCATACTAGGACCACACATAGTTGGCGTTGAGGTTGTCTATGATCTGGAATACTAGTAAAGATATACTAGCCGTGGGCTTATATGTTACTTAATTTATATTGTCAACTTGCTTCTTATTGACTTCTAGCTTAATGGTTATTTAACTATTAGTCACTAATTCTGACTATATTAACTAGTTAATAAATTAGTATCAAACTATATAATTCTTTCTTTCCCCTTAATTCCTAGTAGTCTAGTCATGAAGTCACCATCCTTGATCAATTGAGTCTTATTCCATTATTAAAGTAGTAGAATGATCTCGGTATGTGGCTATAGACCAAGTCTTGTAGAGTGCTTACTAAGTAAATATTTGTAGCTATATATAAATATATTTTACGTCAGGATTTTTTACCTCCTGTCACATAAATAAGAAGTTATAGGAATACACTGATATCTGATATCAAAAATAAAATGAAGAGGGTACAAAGTTCTTAAACAGAGTAATTAGTTTAATGGTTAACATTTCATCATGACACTGGCGCAGATGAAAAGACAGCCGGTTTAAGCCCTTTTATCAATTATATATTATCCCATATATCTTGACAAATATGCTCCGTTACTAGTATAGAGTAGATAATAGGACCTTATAATAGAAGGGATTTTAATATATCAACCAGATATTTGCATATTAATTTCTGTATTAATAGTATTCCCCTTTATAAGGGGATTACTATGCTAATGTTTGTGTTGACTTCACATTGATTCCTAATGTGATTCCTCAACTATTCTTGGACTAGTCACTTGACTGATTCCATGTGGGCCTAAGTTGACATCCCTACATTCCACACCCTTTCCATTTCTACTAAATAATACATAAGTTATTGGCATCCCTACATTCTTACTAGTTAAATTCTATTACTGGCTGAGATTGAGACTAAACACAGCTAGCCAGATTATGCAGCTACATCCAAAGGTTTACATATTTATCTGCGAGCTGAAGTCCGTTTACCCCTATCTTACATATGTGCCGTATCTGCGCAATTCCTGTCAGGTAAATGGGTTAGATGATATAGATAGTAGATTTCCTATTGGAGATGCTACAATAAACTAGAAGTCAATAATGTATTATAAGCTTTCATAAGTACCAAAGATATATCCATCATCAATAAAATCCCCCACCACTTCTTTTACGTCACTAATGGTACAGTTAGGCTATGAGGTTGATACAACTAATATAGATGGACAGGCTTAGATATTAAATATAGCTTAGTATTAGAGGAAAGACATTACCATAAAAAATTCACTTGAAAGAGGATAGAGCACTCAAGGGTCGGGCGCGGCTGGACAGACAGCCTTCAGCATTATATAGACAACCTAAATAGCTATATTTAGTCCTAATTAATAAAAATATTAGCCTAAGAGACTATTAAGTTTTAATACTAATTCAATAAGAATATAGGAATATTAGTATATTAGAATCTATATTTCAGTAGGGGTGTAAGGGGGTAAGGAATGAAACATAGGCCTAAGGCATTAATTATAGAATTATTAAGGAATCATTAAGGTATTAACTAAGAAATCATTAATGGATTATTAATCAATTATTAATAAATCATTAATAAATCATCAATTAAGGAATCAACTAAAGAACTAATTTCTTAATTAATTAAGAAATTAATTAAGAAATTAAATTTACTTTAGATATCTTTAACTCATCTATATACCTAGATATTATATAGGCTAAAGCTAACTATAAAGGGCTATTTAGGCTGTCTATATAATGCTGAAGGCTGTCTGTCAAATCCCGAAGGCTGTCCGTCAAAAGCCAGAGGCTGTCTGTCCAGCCGCACCCCCAATGGTCATACAGCAGCTATATGGTAGGACAGGAAGGAATGGATAAACAGGAGTGCCTAGCAGGTACTCTATAAATATATTATGATGTAAGAAAATATATCCTTTTATAAGCTCATTATTACTTAAGAGTGGGTAATTTTATATAAAGGTAAGCTGGTTATCCTTAAACACACTAGATCTATGTCTATAATTCATAGGTTATATACTTAAGAACTTATCCTTATATCTTCACCTAAGAAAGCTTAAATCATGTCTTTATCTCATAACCAAATTCATCAATACTCTCTTATAAATGCCCTCATGCAGGGTATTTGTGTGGAGGGTTTGCCAGCATCCCAGCTGCCCGAAAAAGGAGACCACGGCCTTGGGACACTTTCTGGTCTAAATGGAGAGATAGTTATCATAGATGGAGTCTGTTATCATTTCACCGCAAGTGGAGGTGCTCATATTCTGGGAGACCAAGAAATCATTGCCTTTATCATGATTACAAGGTTTCAACCAGTGAACATTGTCCAACTTCCTCATCTATCCTTCGAATCACTTTACAAACAGATTTCTGGCCTACATGAAGCTGCCAGGAACTGCTTTTGTGCGATCAAAATTGAGGGTCATTTCACCCAGATTAAATATCGAGTCATCCCAGGACAGTCCCGACCAGGAGAAACACTACTAGAGCTGCAAGAAAGGCAGCTGATTCAGACATTCAGCCACCAGTCAGGAACTTTATTTGGATTCATGTCGCCTGGCTATACAGCTGGACTCAGTGTCCCAGGGATTCATTTACACTTCCTGTCTAAGGACCGACAACACGGAGGGCATGTGCTGGACTTTGAGACCAACAGTCAACCAGCTACATTGTCGACTGCTGTTATCCGGAAGTATAATCTTGAAATCCCAGATACCAAGGAATTCGGTACCAAGTGTGTGATAGTTCACGACAAAGTTGATCTTGATAGGGCCGAGGGAATGCACCATTCATGATCAAGTAAGACAAGGGATGATGAAGATCAACTTCATTAAATGTTATGATAGATAATTATTACAACAGAATGGAAAAAGAGAAGGGTAATGAGTATTATTTGCAGAGCGAGGCTCTGCAGCCCTAATACGATCCAGTCAAAATTGCGATCTCAATTCTAATTATTAGTGAGCTCTAATCTTATTAATTGGCCGCCTGCTGAATCAGGGCTTCCTATTAGCTTATTAAAGTAAACATTATATAACTATCTATATATAGAAGTTAGGGCTTAAATTTAGGGTATTATAATTATATATATTGATTCCATGTTGATCCTTGCACCAATTCCATATTGATTCCTTCATCGATTCCCGCATCAATTCCTGGGGGATTCCTGGGCTGATTCCGTGTTGATTCTACATAGATTCCTGTGTCGATTCCTGTGTCGATTCCTGTCTTAATTTCTTGCCTGATTTCTTTGCTGATTTGTTCATGATTTCTAGGGCTATTTGATATTAATTTATTAATTAATTCAACCTTCTCTATGAGTTGAGGGCTGTAGGTCTGGATTGGCTCCCAGTAGGTTAAGCCATCTAATTAAGCATCTATAGTAATAGACAGGCCACCTGTGTTGCTCTGCAATGAATGACTTACGACGAACACGTGACGCCCCTGTAAAGCCTAAGCAAGCCTGGGGATCCGGGGAGCGGCATGCCCCCTGATATATATAACAAAGTTGAAAGAGCACTAGCCCATTCAGACACTTGAGGCCTAACCCACCGCCCAAATAACCCACAATAGAACACCACCCGAGAAGACAATTGGAGTAGTGTATTAGGGTTAAGGCGATGAACTCGCTGAGCCCTTCCTTAAATAAGATATTTATCTACATCAGGGAGATCAGGGTTGAAGAAGTCAAGAAATCTGCCAATTAGAAATAGTTGAGATAATGATGTCACTCAATCCAGATATCTAATATTGAATATCTATATATCCACTGTACCAGTTATATATCTAGGATACCTAGGTACTAGGACTATAATGCTGAGCAATTCAAAGAAAATACTGGTATACTATTGTTCTATATGCTTAAATATGATGTGATATAGGGTCTGTCAGGGCCTAATGTTGGATAAATTTAGTACTCCAAGTAATATTTACTGTCATGCTTATTAATAAATGTATTGGGGCCAAATCTTCCAAGCTAATCCTCTAAGGCTGGGCTTAATCCTCTGGCTGACAATCCAGATCATCAGATAGTCTCTTGGCCTACTTCAGCTTTGATCCTGCCAAGCCCTTCATACGAAGAGGTAAGACTTTAGTGCATGTTATATAAGGTTGACTTTTCAAGCGGCTGTGCAGCAATTTAATTACCATTCTAGGGATATAGTCAGTCTATCAACAAAAGCTGACATCACCTAAGCTTTTAGACATGGTTATATAAGTATCACTTTAATTTTTTATTTTGCATACTTTGGCAATATAATAACAACAACAACAACAATAATAATATGGGCTTCTTCTCTGGCAAGTGTGAGCCTGATGCGGCTGATAATCAGTGGTCATCATACTGTCCCTCGGTGCCTGTCGCCTTCCTCTTCTTCGTCCTGTTCAGCGTCTCCTTCGTCTTCCACTGCTTTCAAGCTCTCCGACACCGCCAGCTCTTCTGTCTCGTTATGATCACCGGTGTGCTCTGGGAGGTTGCTGCCTTCGCCTCACGCGTCTATTCTGCCAAAAGTCCCACACAGAAGGGCGTGTTTGATACCTCATACCTGCTTCTCATTCTTGCGCCCGTCTGTGTCAACGCCTTCGACTACATGGTTGTCTCGCGTCTGGTGCGCCGCTTTCTCTTCCGGCAGCGCGTGTGCGGCTTGAGTGGACGAGTTATGGGCAAGCTTTTTGTCTGCTGTGATATTGTGTATGTTGGAAAGATTAATAATACTGAACTAAAAACTATATCTAATATTATAGATCCTTCATTGTACAGATCGGCGGGGGGTTGATGACCCTGAGCTCCAAATCCAGCACCGAAAAAACCGGCCTCCATATTTTGACCTTTGGAGTGGTATTCCAGCAGGCCCTGATCGTCTTCTTCTTTGTGGTCACAGTAGTCTGTGGACGAAAGACAGCCTATACCGTTAGAAACTCGCAAACTATCCAGGCTGGGATTCAGAAAACTCTGCATGTTGTCCAGGGATCTTTAATTCTAATTTCTGTAAGTATATATATACACACCAATTCCGATATCTATATACTGATAGTGGCTAGTACCGCATCATCTATCGTATTGTTGAGTTTTCCTCTGGCGAAGGCAGCTCCCTGAACAGCTACATTGATAACCACGAGTGGTGTGTATATGTTTTCGATGCTGGCCCGATGTTCCTTGCCGTCCTTTTGATGAATATCTGGCATCCGGGCGCCGTCTTGAAAAAGTCCAAGGATTACTATGATGATTCAGTGCCCGTGGCGGAGATGGAGCACCAGCCTCTGGCGACTACACCATCCCCATATGAGCATGAAGAATTACAGGTTAGGTGATTGTGAATGTATATTTATAGTTGAGCATCAGGTGGAGTTTTATATGATAGTCTATAGGGCAAATCTCATACTTTAGATACTTACTAAACCTTTATATTTCTTCTTTATTAAATAATTTGTTTTTATAAGGCAAATCTCATATTTTTGATACTTCCTAAACCTTCATATTTTTTCTTTATTTTGGAATATGATAGTTCATTTTTTGAGAGGATTTCAAAAATATAGTCCTTTTTCTTATAGGCCTAAAGGTGGTGGAGTTATAAGGGGTTAAAGATATTATAGAAACCTTAATCTAATTAGTATAGAACTCTTATATTAAACTTAATTAAGATTTCTATAATATCTTTAATATTTTAATAACTAGAGGGGCTATAGACCTTAGCTAAGCTTCTAAAGAAAGCTTATTCTCTATATAGTTATCTATTCTTACTATAGATTAAATAAGGAATATTAAGGTAGTATAGTTATAGGTTAAAATCTCTACTATTTATATATATATATAGCTATATA